AGCCAGGGGAGGCCGAGGATGACGTCGACGTTGAGTTTAGTGACGAACATCTCCAAGGGCTCGATGTGGGTGCCAATTTACAGCCAAACCTGGACTTTGTGTGTAACGTGACCTGATGAGCTCGAAGAGTCGTCGGCCATCAAGAGCTGTCGTGGTTTTTCAAGAGGGATCAAGTCAAGTCCCATCCGTTGCGCATGTTCTAAGTCACTGAAAGCTTTGCTAGAACATCCAGAGTCTATCATTGATGTAGTAAGTTGTCGCCGAAAACCTACGTGTATCAAAGAGAGTAATGAGAGGCTTTTTTCTCCCATCTGTGTCAAGTGTAATGGCTTAGCTATTTCATGTGAAGAAGGACATTTATGCTTCTGCTCGCGGCATTGAGCAGAAGCTACTCGTTTCCCGCTTCCTCGATGCCGCTGCTTTCTTCCGGGCGGTCCTGCTCTCCTCCGATTCGCTGGCCTGTGTAGGGGTTGAAGGCAACGGGTCCGAAACTGAAGTCCATATGGTTGACTGTGAAACCTCCTCCAGCACTGGCGCCAGAATGGGCTCCGCGGTTTCGGTGGCCGCCGCCACGATCACCCCGATTCACATTGGTGCCACCTTGCCAAGGACCCCAGCCGCCTCCGTTGAAGCCTCCGTTATTGTAAGCGTTATAGGCGTTCCATCCACCATATTCGCCTCTGCCTCTTCCCTGGCCTCGACCGCGGCCCCTCTGCTGGTTACCGTCGTAGCCTCGAAGAGGACAGCTGCGCCAGTAATGGGTTCTGTCGCCGCAGCCATGGCAGAGGCTGTTGTTCTTGCGGTAGTTATACATTTTGCGGTTTATGCCGCGTCCGCCGGCCTTCTGAATGATGCTGTTGATCTTGTCGATTTCCATAGCGTCGGGGTCTTTTGGAGTTTGGTTCTACGTGTTCCCTCTATTGCCTTCTCTGTCGTTGCCGCCAGCGTTACGAGTCTTGAGGCGCTGCTGATTATCGAAGAGGGTAGAATACAGATGTACCCAGGCAGTAACGTCATCAGGGGCGGGTGTAGAGACTTGCAGCGCGACAGCGTTTGCGAGGTCATCACTAACCTTGTGGGAGAGTTGAGTAACCTTGCTTGAATTGTCGTACTTGAGAAGAGCGTGGTACTGGCAGAACTTTCCGTAAAATTCGGGCCAAGAGAGTCCTCCCATACGGAGAGTACTCAAAGCGTCTTCAGCGTCTTTGACGGGATTGGTGACGTCATATATCGCGCCGAGAGCTTTCAGCATATCGTCGAGAGACTGCCACTGCCACTGGTGGAAAGGGATTCGGTCGGCAACAGCGAGAGGGATTCCAGACACCATATCAGCCGCAGATCCATTGGTTCGGGAGGCCGTGTACTTGATTTTTGATTCTTCCGTAGGGTAGTCATCGGTGTCCTCGTCTAACTGGTAGATCAGACTATTCTTCCATGCTCGGAAGGCACGCTGTCGTTCGCCGCTCTGGACGTCCTGATCTCCGCTGAACTTCTCAATGTGGTCCTGGGCCTTCTTCTTACCAGGGCCTGCTGGTCTGGCAGCTCTGGCGGCACTGGCCTCAGCGGACGCCTCCATGAACTGAGCTGTCAGTTTGTTGAAGTTCGTTTGGAGATTGTCGGCACGCGCTTTGTGCATTGCCACCTCGCTGGAGAGGAAATTGCTGTGGGAAATGCCATTCTCAAGGAAGGAAAATAAGAGGGTGACTAACTTGGAGCGCACCTCGGGTTGCTTGGTGCTATAGTAGACCTCCGTGAGGATCTGAAATAGCTCGGCGTTTGCCGCGTTGTTGCAAATACGTCATGAGTGGCCGGGTACTCAGTAAGGAGCACGCCGTCCAAGGTGACAGGGTTGCCGCCCGTGTCCATGGTTTTATTAATGTCGTCGTTGTCGTCGTCGTCGTCGTTCGGTGCTTTGTAGTATTGCGTTGCCCGTCCCGTCGTATCGTAAATCGTCTTCCTGTACAATCGAAGTCGTAGGAGTCGAACAACAAATCGTCGAGATTATGTTGTGCGCGAGTGTTTTGGTGCTACAAACTGTCAGGATCGTGTATGGGGGTACCAGTAGTTTATTGTTGTAGCACGAAGAATGGAACATCAGCCAGCTCATGCAGTACCAATATACATGCGGTGCACGGCCCTAGCCCCGTGACAGTTAATCTCCTACTTACGGAGCGTAGTGTCACAGCACTGGCGATTACAGAGCCATAGAGTGCTGTACATAGCAGTTAATGGGACCAAGTGTCAGTGATCCACTGGCATTCTAGATCTTTTGGTCTATTGGCCTAGGGGCTTGGTCCTCCCTTGTGACACGTAGCGCGAGACGCTTCAGTAAGTACTAGGCTTTAAACTTCGTATAACGGTGGCTAGAGCTCTGGATGCGCTCGAATCGTCTATAAGACTACTACAGGGCCTTATACGAAGGTTCTAAGAAGATTTAGGAATAGTTCGACCTCATACGGAATAAAAGTGTCACAGTCAGGGTATGACAACAATAGGGACTCGACGTGGGGTTACCCCGGATAGGCGGGCGAAACCATGTCTGCTCAAGACACCGTAGAAACTTGGCGGAGCAAGTTTACTTCTTTGTATCTAATTACTACTGGCCTTAGGAATTGATGATTGTGCCTGGCCTCTCCCAAATCTGTATCTGTTGTTACACTCTCTATGTTAGGAATATTACGCTCTATTCTTGGGAACATGTTAGCCTTGATGAGTTTTATATTATATAACTTATAGTGTGAAAAGACTTAATATAGTTACAAATCAAGTCCTTCGGTTAGTCGCTAGTATAGTAATAGGTGATAGTTACTCCTAGTCTCCCTAACAGTCGGAAATAAAGTATAAGAAATAACGTTATATTTCCTAGTTTATATTCTTTATTCAACCGTCAATCTCTGGTAAAAGCTGTTGATACCTCGAGGTAAAATGTATTAGGCAATACATACTTGTCATAGTACCGGGCGATGGTAGGGTCACAGAGTACTGTATATAGCTGTCATCCGGACCAACTGTCAGTGATCCACTGATATTCAAGATCCTTTGGTCTATTTCCCTAGGGGCTTGTTCCTCCCTTGTGACAATTGTGTCAGTGGATCACGTTGTGCGGGTGTCGGCCCTCGGTCCACGTATACAACAGGGTTCGAATCGTGGTTGTGATGAGCTATATGCGAAACAAATTGGCCCGGGGACATGCGAGAAATATGGCCTAGTAGGTGACCGTGCGCGACAGCGGTAACTACCTCCTGCGGTATGCTGACAACTGCAGGGTATACACACATAACCGTTGGTCTGCTATGTGTGTATGCTGGCTGTAGTTAGAAGTCTTAATGACTGATACCATGTACCTGTACTGGAAGTTTGGGTTGTTCCCGTGAGCCCGGATCGCCCAGACGGGTCCAGGATGCTCGTATAGTCCTAGCGAGGATTTAATCGGATAACATCAAAAGTAGGTGCCAAATCTTCGATAGATTCTGGAGGCCGAGTGTCTTAGAAGGGGTTGTAATTATCATAGTACTCGGCGATGATAGTGCCACAGCGTGCTGTATATAGCGGTCAGCCGGACCAAATGTTAGTAATGCACTGACATTCAAGATCTTCTGGTATATTGGCCTAGAGGTTTGGTCCTCCCTCGTGACAGACCCTTTAGCTAATTTTTCTCCGGTTTCCTATTAACATCTTTCGCGGGCTTTCTGGCCCGCCAACGGGTTTGTTAGAACCAACGATTCGTTACATTACTACTATGACTATAGCCTCTATCTTTAAGACTAGTAGGTCTGTGAGGATACTGACAGAGATTTCGCTCTATTAGCATTCGGAGATGGGCAATAGCTTGAGAACCTTTTGGCTTTATTGGACGTATCATCTTCTGATTTATAAGAAAGTCCCGACTGATATCTAGACCAGAAATATATATGCTCCGTACAAGCCAATAAGGGCATATTGATGTCTTCTCGCATCCCCAACTAGTCTCATTGACCAACTAAATAGAACCCGCGGGAGCTTTTCTGGGCAAACCTCAAAATAATGTTTGTTGTTAATAATGGGTTGTTTCAAGAGTTGGCTATACATGAAGTACACGGTGCTCTTACTTTCGTCTGCCACGACTATATAAGAACCAACCATGCCTCTAGTTCCCCCCAAGATGAGAGATTCTTTAAGTAATGTTATGATGTCATGCTGCCCACGTATTTCGCTACGCATCGCTTTCCTAGCAAAGTCAAGTATCGCATATGAATATTACTTCATACTATGAACCTTAAAGTAGATTTAGATAAGAAACGTTTGCTAGTGGATTATAACAACTTCAATTGGGCTATCATAGAGCTCTGTGAACAATAAATGGTAATAGGGGAATCCCGAGCTCGAGCTCATCTCAATAACAATCACTCCCCTGTGATATGAATGCAGTGCTTCGTATCCATGCTATAACACGTCCGATTATCTACGGAAACAAAGATAACACAGATCAAGTACATAGATGAATCTGACCGATCTAAGCTTCTAAGGGCTAGGATAGCTGGTATTGTATCATACAATCGTAGGCCACTGAGAAGTCGGTACTCTGGTAGCCACTTTGTTATATGCCCTCGAACACGAGCAGCCCACATTGCGGTCATTATGGCAAGATGAGCATCATGTTCTATTATTTTGATACTCGAGATGTTTAGTAATACATTGAGGAAGAGAAAGAGAAGATATCTAGTAATACATTAGAAGAAGACAATTTCACCCCAAGGGAGCTCAGGATCCAGTCTAGCCTTCCACACCTCTGCTCACTTCCTGTTTCTCTTGTACCAAGTTCCGCATCCACATCAAACCGAACCCAGCTTCATCTCCTGAATGTCCAGTCTATTTTGGCGTCTCCTCCTGTAATCCAATGTAACCCAATGTAACCCGACATATATTATACACGTTGAAACAACCAAATATCGTTCATAATTAAATATTGAACAGCCAGCGACCCGCGCCAGTGCAAAACAAGAAGAAGCGAAGTAAGACCATCAAATTCGACGTGATGAAACCCGCTGTGACTCGAGGTTCGAAGTGAAGTCCTGCAAACTGAGGCGGAGGTCCAGAGAATGGTGTCTGCCATATACACCCAAATCCGCCTCTTCCACCCGGCGTTGAGCGCTCGTCCTATGCCGCTTCTCGCTCTTGCGGACGTGCCGCGAGACCATAGAACAAGCAACCAACTCATGCTGTTGGGAATCCTGTATATACCGATCGACAGACGGCGGCAGCGACTGCAATCCTCTTTCGTCCATGTTGATACCAGGAGGGGAGCCCGCCCCTTGCTGGGTCTCACCAGGAGTCGATATACCGTAGGAGTTGTTGGGTTGAGGCATGTGCGAGTATAAATGAGACTCTGAGTGCGTGAAACACCATTGGGGGCCCTGTTGGTGCGTGCAAGGCTGGTGGTATTGACCAGAGGCTGGCTGTTGACTGCCGTCACCCGGCTCGAAGCCGGAAACGTAGAGAATGGGGTTGTAACTCTCAGGTGCCAGACCCGAGAGATGTCCTGAGGAATTATCGATGTCATTTCTGTCATCGTGGGGAAAGGATTGTTGGCTGTGAAAAATGTCAGTCCATCAAATCCCGAGGTCAAGGGGGACAAATAGGATGCTTACTCAGATTGGTGGGAACCCCAGGTCGCCCACCCAGATGCTGACATGACTGAATCCATTATCTTCGTGTGACCTGGGTAGCTTTGGAAAAGTGCAAGTGATATGAAACAGAATGATGTGAAGAAGGGCACTAATGTCACAGGAGGCTTGCATTAAGCCCTTAAAGATAGATAATATCCAGGTGACAATCGAACGTGGCGGTGCTTGGGATCAACCCATCAACCAGCTTCGAATAATGATAAACAACTAGTATGGAGATTGGCGGTAGCTGTGGTGGCTCAAGTTCTGGTCTGAAGATTGTGGTGTCACTGAAACATAGAACTGAGATCTAGAAGTGCGCCTGCAGAGAAGAGTAATACAGGAATTGAAAGAAAAGAGAGCAATGTTGAGTATGCCATCCAGGGAGAAGATAAAACTGGGTGCCTTATGAGAGTTCGGGGAAAGCATGATTTATAGACCGGCTACCGAAATCTATGTGATCCTGACGTAAATATATGGCCCCGAATATCAGAGAGGGCCGCCGTAATTGCAACTTGACATGAACCCACCGCGGGGACAACACATAATTGTCATTGCCAATGCCACCTTCTCAGTGACACGTGGGTACGGGTTCATGTGGAACGCACTACCGTAAACAGAAGTTTCTTGGTGTTCATGTCTGCGAACCATATTCAACTAGGAATCCAACGTCTTGTGGCCTCCACAGCCCGGCGCATTGCCCCAGTCCGAGGGAACTAGCCCCCAAAACAAACCCATGTTCTGTAGATTCATCTCCATCTTTCCACTCGTGCTATATCGTCCATATGTAAAAGAAGGGTCCTCGGCGAGTCGAAATGCATCATCATGCCGAGGATGTCTCCTTGGCCCCCAGGTAGAGGCCAACGCGAGTATAACGAGGTGTGCCTACGGAGTGGCTGCTTCTGCAAGATGTGTCTGACTAGCCGCCCGGAGGGGGGGGCGCACTAATCAGCCCTCACGTACCTGTAGAAAAGGATCGAGGCTGTGCCTGCGGCAGACCACGAATACACTTGGTGCTCGAAAATGACAATCCATAATAATATGATGAGGGATTCGAAGATGCCTTAGAAACAAGGACTGAGACCTTAGAGGCCGGCCGACGCCTCATTGGCGCAAGCTGATGAAGTTTTCAAGGCGAACAGGCTGCGAGGTAGTACACACAGGACCAGCGGTGGCAGCAACCGACATGTTGACCCTTCATAACCAACCGGTAGTGCTTATGGCATGTCCCTTTCCCGTTATCAGCCGCAAGCACGGGTTGTAATAGGTCTGAAACTTAGAGCGAGGCACGAATCGTCCGATATGACCATTTGATAGCGAACAGCCATTGTATGTTTCTGTAGTCAATTAGTCATCTGTGACTTCGCAGACTGCAAGGAAGGGGTGAAGAAAGGAAGTCTCGGTGAGGAAAACAAATGATCGGAGTTGCCGGCAGCTGTTGCTAAAGGCAGTCCCTGCAGTTGCTGCAGGTTCCCAGCTCCTCGTCATTGGCTAGATTTGGCCCCCAAAACCTGCAAATCTCCAACTAAGCCTGGCAGAGTTTGCGTGTGCAACCTGGACCATAGAGGAGCAAAAAAAGAATTTCGCATCATCTTAGTCTCTTTCCTACTCAAACTTCGTCGGGCCACATATTTTGGGGTCCAATAAAACAGCGTGCGTCTGACGGTGGCTTCTTCTCGGCGGTTTCCCAAGGACTTCCTCGGGCAATTGGCACGCAGGAACACAGAAGGCCTCCAAGAATAATCCAGCCTTCTGTTCATATGCATCAAATGCATTAGTTCAGAACTTGCTGACAATCAAGAAGGAATGTAGAAGAAATTTGAGTGTGCGCTCGCCTGGGCGCGTGCATCTGTTAGAACTGGCCAGTTCGACCGGCAAAAGTTCGAATTACCAAAAGGAAACCCAGATGGGACTGTAGAAGGATCCTGTTTAGTCCCAGAAAACGACTTGTTTCATGGCCGTCGATATGCTCGCTCACGTAGAAAAGGAGTAGCTGCCTCTGATAGTCGGAAGGTCTTGTGCTAGGTTCTGCCTAATCATAGACGCAAGTATGTAAGTTGGCTGCAGGGTGGCATGGAGATCCACGAATATAGGGTATAGCAAGCGGAGTAACAGCTCATAGGTATTGCTGCAATGAATCAGAAATGAAAAGCGGTAGGGTAGGGCACAGAGCGAACCGCTCGAAGGAGGGATTTCTGCATGAACTGACCGGTTTCGATGGCCACACTGGGCAATCATGAACCAATTCGCTGGTTAGTCTTTTCATGGGAACCTCATGGGAACCTCATGGGAACCAGTATTTCCTTGTCATCGTTTACTTCCGGAGAAAAGCATGATTTATATGTAAATAAATAATAATATTAATATTAAATACGCCGTAGGTGTTAACCCTCGGTACCTCTACAAGTACTCCCTTAAGGGGCTATAGATGATATAGCGGGCCCTTAAGCCGCGTCGGGCGGTTATACAGGTAAACTTGTAGCCAAACGACTACTAAACCTCCTGTCCCTCCCTAAGTCTGTGCTACAACCCCTGCCTGAACTACCGATAAGCGTGGTAATGTGGCACTTAAATTCGTCCTCAGGGGTGGGATGCTGCTGATGTGCAGAAGATGCTCGACTATTTTTTTTGTCGCGACAAGTCGTAGTATCTGCTAATTGGGGTTCTCGTCGAGCGTATACATCTCAACCATACGCTCAAGTGGATAGACCGTAACGTGGTCTAGACGCTCGCAAGAATCGCGGCGAGGGGGCGTGCTGCGCGCCTTCTATCGTGAGGGGACGGGTTCGCCGACGAGCGTTATCGGATAGGCGAGGTCCGATAAGGGGTCGGATTAACGATTCGAATTCTGGACCGGCTGTCGAGTTATATTCCGCCGACGTAGTGCTTGACGGTCGACTGGCTAGGATGCTCGTAATCCTAAACTGCACCAATCTCCCTATTATCGCTAGGTAGGCGAAGTCAACAAGGTGGGCAGCGCGCCGTAAGGGTTGACTAAACCCCCTTGTGTGTCAGCTGCGGGATTCGAACCCGCGACTCGTCACCAACCCAAGTGGATATGTAAATAATTGACTGCGTTGTGTGGTCAACCGTGACGTGCACAAGTTTGGAACAACGGGAGGTTTGTTCGGTTTGCATGGACAGCGGCCACCGAACCGCAGTATTGTGGATCGACGCCACAAGATTCTTCGGGGAAGGCATCTCATTCCCGCATCGACCCGAGATAGAGCGGTGCCGGCGTGTTATATGGAGTTCACCGCTGCTACTTTCGGTCGAGTGCCCGCCGCTGAAGACACAGCAAGTTGGCCAACCACTCACCTGTAAAATATGGAAATGTAACTAACCGAGATTCCATTCGTTGATCATCGACAACTCAGGGACCTCCGTGTCATTTCTCATTGGATTGTGAACATCGTGGTCGCTGAACCGGTGTCGTTTGCACAGAGCGACGCAGTGTTTGACCACTTGGGTTTCCATCAATGCCAATGATAGACAGATGACCAGGAAACGAGCTCATCGGCAGTAGGTTGAGTACCAGAGACTCCACATCGCAGATGGACAGTGGCAGTTCGGTAACCAAACGAGCGCTAGGAGAAGAGGGAGGGCGATGTGATTATATCCGCGGTGATTGCTGCCCGACAACCGGTGATCGGCCTTGTCCCAAGCGGTATCATGTCATGTTTAATAGGTTCATCGAGTGTGAGGACGTTTGCAATTGTCCACACTATATGGTACGATATGCCCGTCCCAAGGTAGTAGCGAAATTGCATGCGCATTGCGAACCATGCCGCGACGACCATAAAAAGATCAGTTGAGTGCCGCCAAGAAACTTCCCGCATTGGATGCGTTGCCTTGAAGCCTCGGTGACTTCCCCCGGAGCCGTCAGGGGCTCGGGTGAACGAACTAGTGGAGCTGCAGTCCTACCAACTCGATCTCGTCTGTGATCCCTTTCTAGCCAAAATTGCACAGGCAAAACCTCATTAGGCGCTTTTGCAACAAGGGGGTCGCACGGTAACGGCCGGCTGCATCTCAATGAGTATTCATGTGTCTGGCTGAAACATAATTTTGGGGCCCATTTGCCTCAAAATTCTTACGGCCGGTCGAGACAGGCGTCCGAGTCTTTGTCTACGAGGTGGGGCCGTTTTAGACGGAATGTGTCAAGCGAATGCGAGCGTCCTCGCATAGGGTAGAGGGAGCACCAACCGAAGGGCGTCTGCACCTGCAAGCCTTGCCGATTACAGGTCTGCCCGCAACGTAATCGTCGGATGTTTGGGCCATGTCCATGGCTTTCGCTGAAATGAGAAGAGATTAGACGGGGGAAGGCCTTGACGATTTGAGATGCTGACAGCAGTCTTGGCACCTATCCATTGCATCTACCGGGCTTGCGCGCATCTTAGTGGTCTAGGCCGGACCTTGTGCTGACGGATCTTGACGATGGAACAACCATGTGTCTCCAGCTGCAACGTGGTCCGACTGTAGCGGAGCTCAGTCTTTATGATTAGTCTGCTCGCATGCGGCTCCAGGAGAGTCGGGTTGTATAGGTATCGACATATATATCGCGGTGTAACTGTTGACATCTTGTGTTAGACATCGCATCACGGATCGAACAGCTGCGTAACCTCGTCTCTTTTGTGGCTTAATCCCCACGTATCCTCCACTTAGACAAACTTGAATGACATAACATAAATTCATGGCGGAGATATCGTCAACAGCAGGTGTCGAGACGGAGAAGAGACCCGAGGACACTGCCGTGGGCTCGAGTTCCTCAAATGCTGAAGATGATATTCCAAGGCCAGAACTGCCACCTCTGCGATTTTGGCTTCTAGCTCTCGGGTAAGCATAGTCCCCAGCATGAATATTCCTGTCTGACTGAAGAATCAAGCCTCTGTCTTGGATTGTTTTTGTCATTTATCGACTCATCTATAGTAGCGACGAGTCTAGTTTCGATAGGAACCGAATTCGACGACTTGGCGAGAGTAAACTGGGTGGCGCTGAGCTACACCTTGTCCTACCTCGGTTGCGCCGTTCTTTTCGCTCGTATTTCGGACATCATTGGTCGACGAGACGCCTTCATCGCGGCCTTCGTCATCTTTTTCGGCTTTTCTATCGGATGCGGCTTTGCTCGAAATTTGGACCAGTTGATCGCATGCCGGGCGTTCCAGGGACTCGGGGGCTCAGGTAACGACACCAGCGATCCCCCCCCGGCTCTAGGCAGTATGACATCGGAACACTGACGAAAGCAGGCCTTTACTCCATCACAATGATCATTTTCCCGGAAGTCAGTCCTGACAGACTGAAGCAGTTCTTGGGGAGCGTGGTCGGCCTAGTAATAGCAATCGGTGGGGTTCTTGGTCCAATACTAGGAGGCGTCCTCACCCATTATTCGACTTGGAGATGGATATTCTGGATTAAGTACGTCTGTTTGGAAACCTCTGCGCTAGGTCGCTCTGACGGTGGTGTGCAGTGGTCCCATCGGTGCCGTTTCCATGGTACTCTTTTACTTGACCTGGCCGAAAGCCGAATATCTGCCCGACCTTGAACGCAGGACTTGGAGAGAACTTGATTATCTAGGCTCAGCACTGCTCGTAGTGTCGTCAGTTCTTGTGGTATTCGCGTTCCAGAATGCTGGCGGTGCTTCAACGGACGTTTGGAAACAGGCTAGGTTTCTTGCTCCCTTGATTGCTGGCGTCCTTGGCTGGGTAGGCTTGATCGTATGGGAGATCTGGGCGGACCGCCGCTGGGGTGATCGAATCGCGGCCGGATTCCCAATGCGGCTCATGCGCAATCACGTATACGGCGCAACGGTCGTGAACACGATATTCCTCGGGTTTCCCTTCATAATGCTTGTGTACGCGTTTCCTCTCCGAGTCCAGATTGTCAACGGGAAAGGCGCTCTGCTGGCAGGCGTCATGCTGCTTCCCATGCTTGGCGCAAGTGCAACAGGGTCCGTCGTTGCTGGCGTTATTAATGGCAAGAAAGACCGAGTCTTCGAGACCCTTGCGGCTTCCAGCTGCTTCGTAACGCTAGGGTGTGGGCTCCTATCCACCTTATCAAGTTCTATCAATGTCGAAGCAAAAGGGCTTGGCTTTCTTGTCTTTGTTGGTTTTGGTTTTGGCATGTCTGCCGCAGGATGTACCATGGTTGCGAATCTGAAGGCCTCCATTCGAGACCACGGTGAGCCAGAATAGAATGAACAGTCCACAGGCGAAATTGCTAACAGTCACGCTAGCTCCATCGCAAGGTATCATCGCCCAGGTTCGGATACTCGGGGGATCAATCGGTATCGCAGCTTCTGCCGCCATTCTAGGGGTGACGCTCCGAACCCAACTTAGAGGCATCGTGAACCCCGACCAGCTAGCCTCACTTGAGAGCCATCCCGACGACTTCAGCCAGATCCAGCTCGACTCAATCAGGAAGGCCTATTCTGATGCCTTCAGTGAGGATATGCGCGTTTGCGCGGTTGTTGCTGGTGTCGCCATCGTTTTGAGTTTGGGGACATGGAGTCGAAACCGACCTTCCGTACAGGAAATCCTAAGCGGGCATGTTAGGGAGGAGAAGGAGAGGAGGAAAATTGTAAAATCGCCGACATGAAAGACATCTAGTGACCATTAACCAAAACTCAGGAAGCTAACTCTCAAGATTTCTGATTGGTCATCCTTGAAGATTGTGCTTTGGGCTGTTGGAGCATTGAGCCCCAGGATGAAAATAAGGATCGAGTAGCAATGGATCAAGTTGATTAAGAAGCCTGTCCATGCTGGAACGACGCAGTCACGGGTATCTCGTGGTGTTGTGTTCTTGGTACATTGCGAGAAGTTCATGTTTGCTATGCCAGGTTCTAGTACTTCCAAGTTTTGAGTTGTCCTGGTCTGGGATTCAGGAATATCCTATGGCTGGTTTGAAATCAAGCATTGGTAGGACTTGCCTGCCAGTTGCTGGTGACAGATAGACTTAAGTGACGACGAGAATCTATGAGTAAACAACCAAAGATATCGACTGTGTTTAAACTGTTGTAGACCAAATTCGTTGAATACCTTCAAGGTTTCTGTTGTTGAAGACGTTCGCCTATCCTTCTTTGCAGGTTAGTGGTCATGATAGAACAACAACAAAGGTACGAAGTTAGGTAAGTACCTAGAAGGGCCCTATGTCGTACAGTTGGTAAGATAACTATGGCTCGTGCACTAGAGATACGAGTGGGTCCCAGAAAAGTTCACAGGCTGGGGGGAACTTCCACAGCTCTGGCTCCCCTGTCATCTGGCTTTCTGCAGGTAAGGCACCCCGGTCGAAAGTGAGGTGAGCACCCTTAACCTTTCAGACAGGGTCTTCCAAGAAATTGTGATTGAAGGCTATTCGAAGCGACACCTATCTCATTTGCAGGTTGTGCAACAACAACGCTTTACCAACGACACGACGCAGCTATCAAAGGCCTGGCCTCTTCGACCTGTTTCCATTCAACTTCACAATCTGCATGATTACTCCAGTCATCCATGATTTCGTAGCACGCCCATTCAACTTGACCGTGTCCCTATCACCAAGCAAGGAACCTCTCGCCAACTTAGTTATCCACGATCCTTTGTCGGCTGTGTGCCGACACCCAATTGAATGTTGCCATCATATGCATCTTCGACCGGTTCCAGGATGATGTCCCGGCATCACTCGGGGGCCTATGCGAATGGCTACCCTCGAGCCAAAACCTTTGAGATCTCGCCGCACAGGTTAGGCCCCAGCCCCGTCAAGCTCGCACAGGTCATTGCCATCTATAGTGTCCACTGGCTAACACATCACACTTCAATGACTAGATTCCAGCCTCGTGCCTCCACACCAGCTACGCGCCGAAGACGGAAACTGCTGATACGCCTCGGAATCTTTGCGACCTTGGCAATCCTGTTCGGTTTGTTTGTGTGGCCCGGATCAAATACAATTGTGTCAATATTCTCGCTGGGGCTCGTCAGTGCGAACAATGATGTCGTGATGGATACGGTCCGATACTATGATCTCTCAAACGTGCAAGGGACTGCACGCGGGTGGGAGAGGGAAGAGCGCATTCTACTGTGCGTGCCGCTAAGAGATGCCGAGCCTCATTTAGCCATGATGTTCTCACATCTTCACAACTTTACGTATCCCCACCATCTTATCGATTTGGCCTTTCTTGTGTCCGATTCCAAAGACCGAACACTTGAAGTGCTGGTAGACAGGCTGGAGGCGCTGCAGGCCGACGAAGACCCGAAGCAACCGTACGGAGAAATCTCCATCATTGAAAAAGACTTTGGTCAAAAGGTCGAGCAGGATGTCGAAAGTCGCCATGGATTTGCGGCCCAGGCTAGTAGGAGGAAGTTGATGGCCCAAGCCAGAAACTGGCTGCTAAGTGCCGCTTTACGGCCTTACCATTCTTGGGTATACTGGCGAGATGTCGACGTGGAAACGGCCCCGTTCACCATTTTGGAGGATTTGATGCGTCATAACAAGGATGTCATTGTGCCCAGTAAGTCCCATAACACTCATTTAGCCATGTCGAAGACATCGTTAACGTGATACCAGATGTCTGGCGACCTTTACCTGATTGGCTCGGCGGCGAACAACCTTACGACCTTAATTCATGGCAGGAGTCCGAGACAGCCCTCGCGTTGGCTGACACCCTTGATGAGGATGCTGTGATTGTGGAAGGCTATGCCGAGTATGCTACTTGGCGCCCCCACCTGGCCTATCTTCGGGACCCTTACGGCGACCCGGACATGGAAATGGAGATTGACGGTGTTGGCGGTGTGAGTATCCTTGCGAAGGCAAAGGTGTTTAGATCTGGCGTTCATTTTCCCGCCTTCAGCTTTGAAAAGCATGCAGAGACTGAAGGATTTGGAAAGGTAGTCTCATCCCTTCCCGCCACAGGAAACAGGAGGCTAACAACGTATCACAGATGGCAAAGCGGATGCAATATTCCGTTGTTGGGCTTCCCCATTACACGATCTGGCATTTGTATGAGCCAAGTGTGGACGATATAAAACATATGGAGGTACGCATTTATTTTACACAAGAGTTATATCGCAGCTGACTTTGAATTCAGGAAATGGAACAAGAACGTAAAGCAAAGGAGCAAGAAGAAAAGCAGAAAACCGAAAAGGAGAAGAAGATCAAGGAGCAATTTAGTGACGCTAGTAGCCAGTGGGAGAAGGACAAGACGGAGATACAGAACCTTGCCAAACAAGAGCCGAAGAAGGAGGGCAAGCAAGACACCAAGAAAGAAGCGAAAGCTGATGCCAAAAAGGGATCTACCTCCGAGGACAAGAAGACCACGGGAGAAGGCGCCGAGGACGATTCGAACACAGAGTCGAAATCGAAATCCAAGGACGATTCAGACAAGGTGTCTGAAAAACCGGCCAAAGACCAGGCAAAGAAGGTGGAAAGTTGAGGACGATGATGGCCTCTTCTTCCCCTTTCATATCTTTCGTCATTTCAAGGCAACATACCAGTTGTCAATGGCCCGGCATGTTTTAGGGGTTATCGGATCCCTGTCTGCGGTTGTCATTACTAGGCATTGGCCATTTTGGTGTTTAGCATGAAGGGAAAGACAAAAGCAACATTGAAGCAAAGCCAAAAGTTCCGTGTATAACAGTGTGGCTGGGAACAGATCATGGTATCGGAGTTTATGGTAGCGTTGAAGAACCGGGCACGATGCATGGGATTACAAGTAAGGCAACGGCTGCCGCTGGATTGTACATAGCAGTTTTTGCAGTCATTTTCGCAGTTCTCGAGACTGGAGGAGTTGTCATTATAGGATAATAAAGGATTTCCCCCGAAAACAGAAGAAAAGTATCCTGTTAAAGATGAAGAAAAGCCACGAATTTGGTATTAATAAAAGTATCCTCAAGTAAACGCCCAATTTCCCTCTAGATAGACTTGGTATACACACCTACACATACACTATCATAGTCCACAACAATAATAACCAGTTGCACTCTATGACTCTTCAACTTAACGCACCTACCTTGCAGCAATCCACAAATATCCGCTGTATACTCGTAAACTTTTAACAGTCACATAAACATGGAGTGATCCGAAATTGAATCCAAGTTCAAAAAGTCAATTGATTCTCTAATGTTCACTAAACAAGTACCGAGTTGGACTTTTGCAACGTCAAATAATGCCACCCTTGAAGCTGGAAAATGGCGTCTTTCGGAAAAACGCCAAGCACGAGACCTCCTAAGACTTGGAGCGCCCGTCAGCCCATCACGTGTGATGCAATGCATTGAATTTCTAAGCTACAGCGACACCATGGGGTAAAGTGGTCTAACCAGCTGTCCAAAGCGTAGCTTCACGAGTTCATCAATATCTCAAGTTACCACTTTAGGGCCTCATCCCCTTTTCACCAGTTGTCCTCTTTGGAGCAGTGGCTCAACTCTCCGGCGCCAGGGCTATTGTCATTATCTAATCTCAATTTCGCCCGCCCAACTGAACGAGAGCTTTAATAATCCCGTTAGCTCGTGCCAGCTTTCACAAGTACAAAGACACGGTACCTGGAGCCACGAACGCAAGATCGAGAATGAGTCGAGATGCGCAAACCGACCAGTTAGTGGCAGCACCGCTTGCGACCGAGCCAGTGACCTCCGAATTACCCTCGCGGCCAGCTATCAACACAAACATGGTCATCAACATAAGCCAAGCACCAAGCGCGCAGTACCGAAGCCGCCATGTGGCTGTCGCCGTCGATCCCGTCTCTTTGGTTATATCAGAATGCATATCCGTCACTTCTGCTATGCGCAAGCATGCCCGGTGGGCAGGTTCGTCCGTGTCTTCGATTCTGGGCGGAAATCCGAACCCAGTCCAGCTGGGCCCCCCAAGTCCTTTGCTGAGGCCGGGTAGTCGAGGGTCCAGCACAAATGTCGGTGGCGACGTTGCTCAAGATATTGGCGTCGCAAATCGTTGGGGATTGCGCGGCAAGAAGGGGAAGAGCATGCAAGATAATCCTTTGATGGCAGGGTTTGGGCGACTTCGACACGAGCTGTCTACTTGCAAAGGTCCGTCTTGTCTTCAGCTGCGGTGACAGCATCGCGCATACTGACAGGACTTGTCTTAGATATCCACGAGTTTGACGCTCCAGCTTTACTTAATCCATTCCTCCAAGTCGTTCAAGCCTCATCGACCTCAGCGCCCATCACTACCCAGGCGCTAAAGGCAATCAAGAAGTTCCTTTCCTACGGCTTCTTCAGCCCCGACTCGCCACGGTTTCCTCTCGCCATGCAATCTCTCTCGACAGCGATAACACATTGCAGATTCGAAGCGAGTGATTCGGCGCAAGATGAGGTCGTTCTGCTAATGATCTTGCAGTTGATGGAGGATATGCTGTCTGGCCCTGGGGGCGCACTGCTAAGTGACGAGAGTGTGTGCGAGATGATGGAGTGCGGCTTGACCATGTGCTGTCAGTCGAGACTATCCGAGCTTCTCAGACGAACCGCAGAATCGGCAATGGTCAAGATGTGTCAGATCATCTTTGAGCACCTGAAGCATTTGGAAGTCCAGGCTGGTGACGATATTGCGGCACTTGACGAGCAGACCAACGGTGACATGGACGCTGTTAAGATGGTACCTGCGACGAATGGACACCATGTCATAGCATCTTCTGATGCGCCAGTGAGCGATCCCATGAGCGAACCGCGGCCCTCTTCGAGTTCGGACAAGGTTAGTAAATCTACCGAGGAAAGTTTGGACACTGAGACGGATGAGCTGGACATCAAGCCATACTCTCTCCCGTCAATGAAGGAGTTGTTCCGAGTCCTTGTGGATCTCTTAGATCCGCATGACAGGACGCAAGGCGACACCATGAGAGTCATGGCGCTGCGCATCATTCATGTGGCCCTGGAAGTTGCAGGACCTTCGATTGCCAGGCATCCAGCATTAGCAAATATCGCCGAAGACAAGTTATGCCGCTTTTTGTTCCAGCTTGTCAGGTCAGACAACATGGCTATTCTGCAAGAATCCCTGATTGTGGCCGGTACGCTGGTAGAGACATGTCGAGGGGTCCTGAAGCTACAGCAGGAGTTGTTCTTGTCCTATCTAGTAGCATGCTTACACCCACCTATCGAAATACCACGGGAACCTGGTATTGACCCATCCCTCTATGATGGCATCCCGCAAGCCCCAAAGCTAGTCAAGCCTCCACCGTCCCAATCAAGCAGTGGGAGATCAACCCCCGTGCCCGTCAAGGATCGCCAGAAACTAGGCATGGAGGGCGGGGCTCGGAAGCCTGACGCTCGCCAGGCCATGGTAGAAAGTGTGGGGGCATTGGCCCGGATGCCTGGTTTTATGGTCGAACTATTTGTAAACTACGACTGCGATACGAACCGGATGGACATGTGTGAAGACATGATCGGTCTTCTGTCTAGGAACGCCTTGCCTGACTCTGCCACCTGGAGCACAACCAGCGTCCCGCCTCTCTGCTTGGATGCTTTGCTGGGTCACATCCAGTTCATAGCTGACCGGCTAGACGACGAACCAGCCGTGGAAGGGTACCCCGACCAGGAACGACTGAGAGAGCAGAGGCGGCGGAAGAGGCATATCATCAAGGGCACGAGCAAGTTCAACGAGAAACCGGAAAAGGGGCTGGTCTACCTGCAATCCCAAGGCATCATAAAGGATGTGAAAGATCCTGTATCTGTGGCAAGATTTCTCAAGGGTTCCTCCAGCAGAGTGTCCAAAAAGGTGCTCGGCGAATACCTCTCGAAGAGAGGTAATGACGAGCTTCTCACCGAGTTCATCAACCTCTTCGAATTTTCTGGGAAGCGTGTGGACGAGGCGCTTCGATTGCTCTTGGAAAGTTTCCGGCTTCCCGGAGAGTCGGCACTCATCGAGCGGATAGTGACGACCTTTGCGAAGAAGTACATCTCTAGCGATGTTCCACAAGATGTTGCAAGCGAAGATGCCGTCTTCGTCTTGACATATGCGATCATTATGCTGAACACGGACCAGCACAACCCTACCCTCATGGCTTCGAAGCGCATGGCCATGCCAGACTTTGCGCGAAACCTTCGCGGCGTCAATGCCGGGGAAGATTTTGCCCCAGAGTATCTTCAAGCAATCTTTGAGTCCATCAAGACGAACGAGATCATCCTTCCAGACGAACACAACAATAAGCATGCGTTCGATTACGCTTGGAAAGAATTGCTCTTGAAGGTGGAGTCGACCGATCCGTTGGTTCTCTGCAACACCAACATCTATGACGCAGATATGTTTGCGACGACGTGGAGACCAATAGTTTCCACCCTGTCATACGTTTTCATGTCAGCGACGGACGACGCAGTCTTCGCTCGTGTGGTCTCTGGATTTGATCAATGCGCGCAAATAGCCTCTAAGTATGGCATTACCGAAGCGCTTGATCGTATCATCTACTGCCTCAGCTACATGACGACATTGGCTACAGACAGCACGTCCAATACCTCTCTGAATACGGAGATGAAGGTGTCTGACGACGGTACCAGTGTCATGGTTAGTGAACTTGCCGTTAAGCTTGGCAGGGACTTCAAGGCTCAACTTGCAACTCTCGTTCTATTTCGCGTCGTAACCGGAAGTGAGGGGGTCATACGTGATGGCTGGCAACATGTAAGTTTTTCGAACGCTTCGTTTTAAGCTGCACTAATATGAGCATAGATCATACGCATATGGCTAAACCTCTTCGTCAACTCGCTTATCCCGCCATTCTTTGCCAGTGATGCTGGCAGCCTTGACCTTCCCACGATACCCCTTCACACTCCTTCGCAGGTCATTGACAGAGCAGCTAAGACTACCGACACTGGCTTGTTCTCCGCATTGTCATCTTACATATCTAGCTACGCTGCTGACGACCCGCCGGAGCCTTCCACCGAGGAAGTTGAAAGCACTCTGAGCACTGTAGACTGTGTGAACGCATGTCATATGGGCGACGTTTTTGCCAATTTAACGTAAGATGCCCTCGTTAAACGTTGGAAACCCATGCTTATCAATTGGCAGCAACCTCCCCGCCAGCTCCCTGCAACACCTCGTGGAAGCTCTACTAGACCAACTTCCAGAAGATGACATCTCGACGGTGCCCGTTATAACCGTGAAACCTGAGGACATACCCTCTTCCCCAACTACCGTGTCCAAACAGATAGCCAAGAAGCCCGCATACGACCCTTCTGTAGTCTACATCCTCGAATTCTGCACAATTTTGGCGCTGAGGGATAGCGAAACGGTTGATCTTCTCGGTAAAGTGGTTACTGAAGCACTCCAAGCTGTTCTGCGTGACTCCAGTCGATACCATCCCATTCTCGTATCCAGGGCTTCGTTTTACCAGTTCAACATTCTCAAGGCTAGCTATGTGAGTAGTGATTTCTGTCGCGCATCGGAGGCGTCCTCTAATACGGCTGAGCAGGAACATGATTTCGTACGGGCGCCAGTATTATTGCACACGATATCTAGTTTCCCCAAGGATACACTGACGAGAACATCGCAACTAGTTCTCCAGGGTCTCAAAGTATGCATTAATCAACCCGGACCCCTTCGAAGCGAGATTATGACGTCGCCGGACTTCTGGGTTCTGTTGCGAACACTTGCTGGCAACGCAGAGTCGTCACCGGTTGTCTTTGAAATCCTCGAGGGCGGCGTGTCGGGAACTCCGTCGGCTATTATAGCTGATAACTATGAAGCAGCGATATTACTGCTGAACGAGTTTGCCACGGCCGCTAAGGTCGGTGCAGCGGAGCAGAAGACTAAACCAGGCGCCAGGCGGCCACGCAGTGCCCGGCCACCTAAGAAGGAGACACCAAGGTATGAAATCCCCGCTGCATAACTTGGAAACAGTGGTTAATGTTCAAATCGCAGTGAAAATGCCATCGTCTCAAGAGGCGTCAAAGCTGTAAACATCATTTACAGCATGACTTCTCGGATCCCCCATCTCATGAAACAGTCTCACTTAGAGAGCAACGAAGGCAAGTTGAAATGGTCGTATCAAGGGTACTCACGTGCTGACAACTTGACAGCGTGGTCTGCATACTGGCTACCCATCTTCCAAGCACTCACAACGCAATGTACAAATCCCTGTCGCGAAGTGCGCCACTTGGCTTTCTCTTCACTACAACGGTCATTACTATCTCCGGAGCTGACATGCAGCGACCACGAAGAGTGGACTGCTATCTTTGGCGAAGTCCTGTTTCCACTCATCTTGAAGCTGCTCAAGCCTGAGGTGTTCTCCTCGGACCGGGATGGAATGAGTGAAACAAGGGTGCAAACTGCATCGTTGTTGTGCAAGGTCTTCCTTCAGTACTTGCTCGACCTGTCTAAGTGGGAGGGCATGCTCGATCTTTGGTTGAAAATCATTGATATCATGGACCGATTGATGAACAGCGGCCAAGGCGACAGTTTGGTAAGCTTACACCGTGTCCCGAGAACCCTTCTGTTATAAATTTACTGACTCAAAGCAGGAGGAAGCAGTGCCAGAAAACTTGAAGAATGTCCTGCTCTTCATGTCGAGCACGGGACTTCTAGTAGCACCTAGCAGTGACCCAACACACGAGAAGTTATGGGTGGAAACGTGGAAACGAATCGATAGATTTCTACCTGATCTCAGAAATGAGCTGGCACTGGATACGCCAGAGGCCAATACAAAAGAGGGACCGCCGGTTGAACGACTTAGTACGCTAGAAGGGCCCCAGGAAGCGTCTGAGAAGGACCCTGAGAAGGTCGCACCGGCATGATGGATACGAGCCCAATGCTTGCTTGAGAACGAATCTGGAGGCCGAGACTCGAAACCGCATTGACGCATCCCTCACACAGAGAAAGAGAAAGAGAAACACAGGGTTTAATCAAGGTGTTCGGCCCGCTTGAACATTAGATTTCTGTTGTATAGTACGAACTGATTAGAGCGTCAGTCCGAAATAGAGCGGGGTTTAGAAATAGTTGCATTTGCAGATATCGAGTGCTATGGACTATTTTTAGGAAAAATAGTAATGGTGAAACCTCTTAATCTGACACTATTTACCACGGGGTCAACCTAACCTAGAACTTGGAGGTGTAGAGCAGCTATCATTTTGTGTGGTTTGGGGAGCAACTACTGGTATTCGTGCAAGTTGCTAATAATTACAGGTTCGAAGTACGGTACATTGTACGTACTCCGTACTCAAGTATCGGTGCATCTCATTGGCTCAAATATGGTAAAGTGGCTGCATTAGCGTGGTCGCGTCGGACGCGCTCTCCTTCTAAAAATTGTCAAGACGTGTCGCGCTTCCAAGGTTCTCCTGACCCGCATCTACGCTCCATTATCCCTACCCCTTCATGATCTATTGCGACAAATCCTCCTCCCATTGCCCGTCACGCCCGCAATAGAACCAGGACAACACAAGCCCAGGCATCATGGACTACCTTATGCTTCAGAATGAAGCTACGAAAGAGCGCGTTCGCCTGGCGGAGGAGTTTCTTGATCCCCGTAGGTTGCTTCCAACTTTGAGCACTTGTGGAGGAAATACTGATCCGAGATGCAGACGACCAACATGCTCGAAGCTACCGACCAGACATTATCTTGATGCTTCAAAAGAACCAACGCCGGCTGGTTGTAAACCTCGACCATGTGCGCGATCACAGCCCGGAGCTGGCAGAAGGCCTCCTCCTCGACCCCTTCGAACACACACTCGCCTTCAACCATGCCCTTAAGGAGATCGTCAAGACCATAAAACAGGCACGGGTCGATCAGACAGACAACGAAGTCCTGTATTACTGCGCATGGGCGGGTAGTTTCGGTCTGCACGCTTGCAATCCGAGGACTTTGTCGTCTCATCACCTCAATAACATGGTTTCCATTGAAGGCATTGTGACGAGAACTTCCTTGATCAGACCCAAGGTCGTCAAGAGTGTGCACTACAACGAGAAGAAAAACATATTCCACTTCCGAGAATATCGGGACCAGACCATGACCAATGGCACAACAACGTCTAGCGTTTACCCCCAAGAGGACGATGAGGGCAACCCCATCATCACCGAGTACGGATTTTGCACCTACCGAGATCACCAAACCATTTCCATCCAGGAAATGCCCGAACGGGCCCCCGCCGGTCAACTTCCTCGTGGCGTCGATGTCATCCTTGATGACGATCTTGTCGACAAGGTCAAGCCCGGTGACAGAGTCCAGCTCGTGGGTATTTTCAGAACGCTCGGCAACCGAAATACCAACAACAACAGTGCCTTATTCAAGACAGTCATCCTAGCAAACAACATTGTTCTCCTCTCGTCCAAGTCAGGTGGTGGCGTGGCATCCGCGATAATCACCGATCTCGACATCCGAAATATCAACAAGATCGCAAAGAAAAAAAATCTTTTTGAGCTCTTGTCTCAGTCTCTAGCACCCAGTATCTACGGACATGACTATATCAAGAAGGCCATCTTGCTCATGCTCCTTGGGGGTATGGAGAAGAATCTGGAGAATGGCACACATTTGAGGGGAGACATCAACATTCTAATGGTTGGTGATCCCTCGACGGCAAAATCCCAGCTTCTGCGCTTCGTGCTCAACACTGCCCCGTTAGCCATTGCCACCACAGGTCGAGGCTCTTCAGGTGTCGGTTTGACAGCAGCAGTCACCTCGGATAAGGAAACAGGCGAAAGGAGACTGGAAGCCGGTGCTATGGTTATGGCAGATCGAGGTGTTGTGTGCATTGATGAGTTCGACAAGATGTCAGACATTGATAGAGTCGCGATTCACGAGGTCATGGAACAGCAGACCGTCACCATTGCCAAAGCCGGTATTCATACTTCACTGAATGCTCGTTGCAGTGTCATTGCTGCTGCCAACCCCATTTTCGGCCAATATGACACACACAAGGACCCCCACAAGAACATCGCATTGCCTGACTCGTTGTTGTCCCGTTTCGATCTTCTGTTTGTCGTCACAGATGATATTGAGGACACGCGGGATCGACAAATCTCAGAGCACGTTTTACGCATGCACCGATACCGCCAACCTGGCACTGACGAAGGCGCCCCGGTCCGTGAGAATGGCGCGCAGGCTTTGGGAGTTGCTCTGCAAAGCCAGAACGACATTCAGGGGCCAACTGAGGTCTTCGAGAAGTTCGATTCAATGCTTCACGCAGGTGTTACCGTCACCACCGGCCGCGGAGCCAATAAGCGCCACGAGGTGCTCAGCATTCCGTTCATGAAGAAGTACATTCAGTATGCCAAGCAGAGAGTGAAGCCCGTTCTTACTCAAGCCGCATCCGACCGGATTGCCGACATCTACGTCGGTCTTCGCAATGATGAAATGGAGGGCAACCAGAGGCGAACATCCCCTCTTACTGTCCGTACGCTCGAAACTCTGATCCGCCTAGCTACCGCGCATGCCAAGGCTCGTCTTTCAAATCGAGTCGATGAGCGGGATGCGTCGGCAGCCGAGGGTATTCTGCGATTCGCCTTATTCAAAGAGCTCGTGGAAGACGACTCAAGGAAGAAGCGAAGGAGAACAAAGGTCGTCGAATCTGACTCGTCTAGCGGTGAGAGCTCGGACGATGACGATGACGGCGATGGAACATCGAGAACCTCGACTGGCCGCGCCAGCGCTTCTCGGTCTGCTCGTGCGAGTGCCCGGAGTCAAGCCAACGGGCGCCGGGGTGCGCCTAATGGAAGAAATGGTCAAAAGGGTACAACACCACCCCCAGCTGAGGCAGAGGAGGAGGAGGAGGAAGACAATTACGACGCCACGCCCCGACGACCCACTCGCAGTGCCGCTGCTACTTCGAGCGTAGTGGAACCTTCGCAATCACAGACTTCCTTCGCGTCGTCTGTGCCAGCATCGCAGTTGGAGTCTCAAGAGGATACTACACAAGAGGACGCAGATCTTGCGTCTGATACAGCTGCTCTCAGCATCGATGGTCCCATCACGCCGGCGAGACTGACCACGTTCCGCACAGCGCTCGGACAGCTCCTTAACACGGACTTGTTCGATGCTGACTCGGCGAACGTGAGTCAGGTGATCGAGGCGGTGAATGGGCGCCTGGGTAGTAGGAGTGGGGGGGTTTTTAGCCGGGAGGAAGCTCTGAAGGCTCTGAAGAAGATGGACGAAGCGAACCAGATTATGTGCGTACTGCTACTGATCCCGTTGACATTGGGGGAAATGGGAAGCTAACGTTTTTGCAGGTACACGGATGGAGACCTCGTTTACAAGATCTAACGAGGAAATGGGATAGAGTATTGTGTTATGTTATTACGGCTTATTGCGCAAAGGCGTCCTGGCAGAGATTTTCTGTGATGGTTTGTTCATCAGTTTTGTGGTCGCTCAGATGAGTATGCAATGATCCATGATACGAGATAATGAGATGATCAATATGTATTTTGTCGAGTCCAGCCTCGGTTCTCAAGCCTGGGCAGGTTTCTGTCTATGAGAACGACCAACAAGGAGGGATTATGTCAAATCAAGAATTGCCCAATGCTTTCGCTCCAAATCAAGTTGCCCAGCTTGCCTCGGCTTGTCTCATTTTCATGCCCCTTGAAAAGTCATTCTAGGAGAACCCCCACCACCAGTCTGCGTTTAACCAAAAAGTCCAATCAAACCCGTCAACCCATCATTTCATGCGCGGTAAGGCGGGGATGGCCCTCTAGAGGTTAGTGACCCGGTTAGAAGAAAAAGTCCTCGAAAGAGTTATGTGAAGGCTACAGGGGTGCTCGCATCTATCAATCGCATTCTTAGGAAAATCGGTTAGTTCCTACGCAAGCACGAGAAAATCCGGGGTTCGTAGCAACTAGGGTGAAATTACGGATAACTGAAATAGGTAGCTAGGGAATTCAAGCTTAAGTCTAAAAGTGAATACACCCAAGTAAGCCAACCATAGATGTCGGTGTCCCCAGCATGAGATGGTCGAGAAGCGCCGAATGTTGGTGCTTACTACCAGGAATGGTCAAATATCCTGGACATCTGCTCTCATAGGGCAGACCAGTATCGTGCGATGCTCGTGATGTACTACTGCATGCCGATTTGCAGTACTTGGGTCAACCCCTGTTTATTGTTGCCGTTTCGAATGGTGGTTGAGGGGTTGTGGGAAAGGTGAGTACTGGGATGGTTTGCTACGCGTGACTGGAAGTTGTGTGTAAGTGGTATGTGAGTAGGATACATGAGCGAATACATAATCACTCCAGGTTTCGCTACTCCTGACTCCAATTAAGAAGTGGTTCTACATCGTAAGATCGGCCTATTCACTCATTTCATTGCCTCATGCTCCACTTGTCAGTCGTTCGTTATAGCAAACCACCTACACTCACTTACTGCAACTTTATACACTCAAGACATACCCCGACTGCGAGCAGGACAACTGCTACCGTAACCTAGTCGACGAGTGCTTCCAGGACGAATCCCCAGGATTCTGCCTCGGTTTCCTAGCCAGCACCACGACTGATTACGTGGCCATCCACACCGACTACGCCAACTGTGAAAACAACATCGCTGCTGCCTCATCGGCTTGGTCATGTATCACTTACACATACACGCAGACTGCATTGACCTTGAGCTTCAGCTCTTCCCCTGTCGAGACTTCCAGCTCGTACCCTGGGATCACGCCACAGAGCACGGGTAGTAGCTATTCCATCAATAGCATCTCGTAAGAGTATCCTACCAGCACTTCGTCGGGTTATCCTACTAGCACCGGCTACCCATCATCTTCCCCATATGTGCCCTCAAGCAGCTATGCCGATTCCTCATATAGCAGCATCACCACCACCACCACCGAATACACTACCAGCATCATCTACTCCGCCACAATCTACACTGTCACCTCCTGTACCTCAACCGTGCCCAACTGCCCCCTCCCCCCCCCCACCTCAACCCCCTACAGCACAACAGAAATCATCCCCGTCACCACGACGGTCTGTCCCGTCTCTTCCTCGAAGCCCAGCACCCACCCTTCTCCTCCTTACCCATTTACTTCCATCTCCATCTTCTACAGCACCAAGGCGTACACCATTACCGCCTGCGCTGCGTTGTCATCTTGCGCTGTGGGCCAGGTGATAACCACGGTTATTCCTACTGGCACGACTTGCATTACGCTCGGTAGCACGCTTGGCCCAGTGGCTTCGTTTACTTATTCTGCTTCTTATGGTGCGACTGTGACTTATCAGCAGACTACGGCGGCGGCAACTACGGCGTATGGGACGGGGGTGGTGCCGAGCAAGACGACGGGGACGCAGATCGTTTCTGCGGCTGCAGAGAAAGTGGGGAGGCGCCTGGAGATGGCTGCTGGTGTTGTGGGTGTTTTGGCTGTTGCCATATTGTAAGTTATAAGGGTTTGTTATTAGATATTAAGCCTTTAATGTGATGTTATGCCCAGGGTTGTTTATAATCTGTTTGGCGTTTTAATAGTAACTATACAATAGTAATCCTCGAAGGTGGTCTTAACGTCAGTTTCGAGAAGTTGTAAATGTATGAATCGTCTCAAGTCAATCATGATATCCATATTCTGCCTGTCACTACGGCAAATAGGAGGATCCACCTACAGCCGTGATATGGTTATTCAATCACAAACTGAAAGCTAGGTATTTCAAACACTTTTCTACCACTATTTCCCCCAATCTTTGAACATATATACTATCATATATTACGCCCGATAGCTTGCACAAAATGAATATGCCTATCTCCAGCAGAACCAATATCATAATATCCCTGGCGGCCACACTCTGCTGTTTCGCCGCAATATTTCTTCTATTCGCAACCACCGTTGGCCATATGCAGAGACGCTGGGAATCTTCTCAGCAGCCCAAGATTGTCGTGAAGCCAATCTACAGGTCAGAAATTGACACAGCTAGACTATAAAGCACAACTAACGCGAAGACCATTTCCTGCTACGAATACAAGCATTGGAAGTCGTTTTGACGGGACGATGAGGATTGGGTCTGAAAATTACATCATGACACCGACGCTGTGACGTTCGGAGGTATAGTTTCATCAGCACTGATCTATTAGGACCATTATGGATATATCTTCGTAGTTATGTGGAAAAACTCCCTACTGAAGTAAACAATATTTCAGGTCTATCCAGATATACTTGAGAATCGGGAAAGGGGCAGCTGGTCAATCCGTAGCAGTTCAACTTGGCGTATTGCTCTGATGTTCGTCCACTTATTGCAGGAGAGTATTAGGTGTATTCGTTTGACACATGCAAATATGTTCTTGACCTTTCAACAGGGGTTTGGATCCCTTGTGATGGTGTTATGCAAGACCCAGACTGGATTAAGACCCCGAAGTTCACATCTGCCGTTAGCGACGTAGCAAAATCTTCAATGCGTAAATCACGGTTTTCTGGCATCATGTTCATAAGAATACCACATGGATTGGTCAACGCCTTCGAGGGCGCTTGACGGGTCAAGTTGAGCTAGGCACCGTTGATATGGGTGCTATGGATGGGATGATTTTGACCAGGGTCCAGTATTCCGGCCAGGACGTTGTCGAAGGAGCAGGGGCTCGACATTGCTGTTGCTAGGGTAAGCTGAGCGATGAATGGTTCCAATAGTTCACACCCGTCCCTGCAGGTTGAACCCTACCCTGAACCCTGGCGGCTTGGGATCATAAAGCTGATGGTCCAATGGGCCAGCATTGACTGACACACGGCGATTTTCCTTCTTACTTCTCGGTCAACGAAGGGTCGCTCGCGCTCCATTCGAATGGTGAATACTTTTTGAGGATGGTGAGATCATCAGCGTGTCTTATTGCGATGGCTGCATGCGGGAGCCATGACCGCTGCGGGTTTCGAAAACCATGAATCTGTAAGTAAACCGAAGGCTAGAGGTGAGGTCCGAGACGTTGGACCTCCTTCAGGCCTAGAACAGATCTGCATAGGCCATCCAGCGTCAAAGATCAGCGCCTTAATGCACGACTCCACAATCTCAAGCGATGCTGGGGTTCTCGCACGTTTCCTCTGTCCAATCCGGCAGTCATGTCGAACATCATTTGGAAGCTTGTTAGTTGTATATACTCCTACGACGCGCACCTAGACTGCGCCGAGCTTGGGTGGATATTGCATCGCTTCGCCCATCGCATTGTCGTATCAAATTAGTGGAATATTTTGTGCCTCATCTACGATCTGCAGTCGGGAAATATTGCATCGAATGGTGTTTGGTCTCAGTGTTGAATTGGCAATCGTCTGCCCGCTTGTCTTCAGATGCCAAAGTCGATGCGACTCGACATGTCTCCCGGCACTCGAGACCAAATCATGACAAGACGATGACTGCAGATAGAAGCAGGTCCTGTGGGAGAATGTGGATGACTGGATGTATTCTCAAACAGAAGGGATGTTACAGGGGATTTGGGTTTTGCAGGCAATGGGCTTCTGCATCTCAGCGTGATGGCCAGCGCGCCTGCCCGCAGGTTTCCAAAAGAAAAAACGAAAAAAAAAACGCGAACTTCCTCACCAACAGTTGAACATTCACCATCCAACAAACATAACCCAGGCATTGAAACGGCCTCTATCTTCAATACGAAGCCATGGTGTCTGCGCGTATACTCACTCCAAGAGAGTCATCAAAGTCCATCAGACTCAAATTTTTTTAGTTTTGGCAATTTTCGCAACTGACATGCTCGTCAGCAAATGACCACCATGGCATGTTGTCTATGTTATTGTTGTTTGCGCGGTATCGTTCACTGATGGTTTTGTGACACGCAAATTTTCCTCATGTCTTGACGACTCCGACTGAGTGAAGTTTGAGGCATCCGGAAGTTTCCAATGATGCATGAGGTCCAAATATCAAAGTTACTGCAAAATCCGGTTCAGAAAAGGCTGATGACTTCTTCGCCATCAACCTGGTCATCCAAAACGCGCAACCCATGCTGCGATTATTTTGACCCGTTTTTGTCGCTTCCCTTTTCTTTGCTTACTCAAGAATGTCTATCTCGATGCAGCCCTTTCGTAAAGTACCGCGACTACTGCACCCAAGCGAGCCCGTCTACTCCTCGCAGAGGCCAAGAAGACAGCACTGGATTCCGCCACTGGTGGTCGCAACGCTTGCAATCATCGTTTTCCTGGTCCAGTATGGCTTGACCGTCAGCGATATCCCATCTCAGGTCGCCGTCCAGGGCTACATTTGCAGTCGCTACTACGGCAATGCTGACCCGGCGTTATTGTCGCCGCAAGAATGCGACGATGAACGAGTCTTCAACCGGTTAAACACTATATCCATGGTTTCCCTCGCTGTTACCGCTGTTTCTGGTAGGTGATCCCACATGAGGTTCTAAAACAAACAAACAAACAACGTCCTGAACTGTCTGCTGGGCACATTTGCTAACGGGGTCTAGCCATCTTGACAGCACTGCTATACGGTACCTTGTCCGACAGCTGGGGACGGAAGAAGGTCTTTCTCCTTAGTATCTTCGGCTTGCTCCTTTCTCAGGTATGGTCCCTGGGGATCGCGAAGAGCGCCCCTCGGGTTCCCATAGAGACCATATCGTCGGCAGGTTTGGCCGTTCTCATCGGTGGTGGAATCAGTATTTCCGAAGCTATGGTATTCACCATGATATCAGACATTTCGCACGAGAAATGGCGGTAAACACTTTCTGTACCCGCTTCCAAGCTTGTAGCGACTGATTATAGAATAACCAGGACCACCTACTTTCAGATCGTCATCTGCAGTGTTCTGATCGCTGAGATCGTTGGATCTGTGACGGCACGAGCCATGATGGCCACCACGCCATGGCCGCCCCTTTATCTTGGGCTCGGCTTAGTGACAGCCGGCCTCTTTATGGCATTTGTTCTTCCCGAGACTCTCCACATGCAGCACTCGAATAACAACTCGACTTTGAGACAGTCATCCCAACCCGTCAAAAAGAACGATATGAAGTCCATGTTACGAGACGTTTTAAGGTCGAGCAAAACGGCCGCTTCCTGCATGCAAAACCAAAATATTGCCCTGCTTGTCCCCGCTGCAGCCTCCACCCTTCCTTTGGCCACCACAGCCCTAACAACACTAACGCTCATGATACCGTACCGATACACGGAGACATTCCTAGAGTCGACGACCCTCGTTGCCGTCCGAGCTGCAACCACAGTTGCCGTTCTCATCATCTGCGTGCCCCTCATATCCTACTTCTGGCAGAGAATATCACCGTTCAGAAGAGACTACACGCTAGTCAAATTCTCTTCATTACCCCTGGTCGTCGGCATGTTTATCATCGCAGCTTCGCCGGCACTGAGCGGCGCCATCGTTGGAAGCTTCATATTCAGCACTGGATCGCCTGTACCAGGATTGGCACGCTCGATGCTGGCACAGATGGTCGAGAAGGAACATCTCGGGAGATTCTTTGGTCTACTGTCTATCCTGGAGCAGACTGGGTTCCTCGTCGTGGGTTTGTCTATGGGCGGGCTGTACAGCACCGGCCTGCGGAACGGCGGAGGACCATGGCTCGGCTTACCCTTTTACGTCGCGGGTGCCTTGTTCGTCATTGTGGCTATGTGTCTCTGGATTGCGCGACCGGAGCCCCTAAAGGAAAATGGGGACGTAGAAATGTCGAGCTTGGAAGAAGACCCGGTTAGTCGTCTGTCTGACAGAGCCGTGCGTGATGGAGGGGAACGCTATATATGCGTAGGCTGAGCAAAAGCTTGACAAGGAGAGGCCGGCGTATGGTGTGGGTTGGTCAAAGACCAAGCGTGTATTGTATTTGATCTTTGCCTGGTGCAATGCACTGTTCTGGAATACACATGCTGTGATATAACCACTAAAACTCCTCCCCTCCTTTCATTCGAAGTAATTTCAAGTGTCTAACAAACACTGAACGCAGTGAGTCGTTCGTCTTTTGGCTGAATGGCAAGCAAAGGCATGCGACCCGGAGGACGCCTTGTGGAAGTACAGGCTAGCTTTTGCCTGTAATCGGTTACCGTAGACACAGAATGTGATACTGGAAGATCTTTGGTAGGTAGCGTACGATGTGAAATCGAACAGTTGCCACGGTGTTTATGAATATGCATCCATCTTTCTCCAGTGTTTCAATGAAGTACCAAGAGTGTATACCATCTCGTCGTCTCTGGGATTAACCGACCATGAAGACATCAGCTTGAAACTGGGAAAGGTTAGGAACCTGCACTCGAGGCTCCTTTTTTCATATATCAAAGTGACTGTATTCTGACACCTGCGATAATTTTCCTGAGACTCACTTCGTAAGCAGGGTAGCTGATGAAGTGAAGTCCAGGCCACGAGGACCCATGGTTGGATTCCTTCAATTTAGCATCTACGGCCTTCACTTGCCATTAAAAAGAACTCCGCCGTCCCAGAAGTCGGGCCGCACAAATCGTTCCTTGAACTTTCCGTAGCAATGCCTCCGAATTCCCATTGATTAGAAGTTTTCAGGACTCGGAAAAGGAAGGGCATGGTACAGGCCATTCCCCCCAGGTCCCTGAGTCTACAGTTTCATTCGACACGACCTGTTCCGTTCCAACAATGCGTCTTTCGGCCTCCCACGTCGAATAGCCAGCAGTCGAAATAAGGAGTGTTTCTTGAACTCAACCTTTTGGTCCCCATATGGAACCCAGGCCGCTCTGCGCTCAACAGTGTCTTCGTCACGTGCGCTTCAATCATGTTGACACAAATACACGTGCTCTAGCCCAACTTCCCAAGTCCAGGATGAAGATGGCCTAACCCACGGTTGAGCCTCGTCCCGAAAATCTGGGTCGGCATAACTGCTTGTGAGCAACGGGAGGGGCTGAGTAAGAACCCGCGCTGTGGGGCAAAACCAGATGTCTCCCCGCTACACCCTATGCGAGGTAGAACGGGGCCGGGCTTCGAGCATGGCCTTGATCTGATTTGTAATTAGGGATGTAGAAATCAAATTGCTGCTTGTTCTACCGTCTCCCACGATCAAAAGCGACCGAGAAGAACACACGGCTACCGCAACAGAACATACAAATATCCTTGGCTTACAAGAAATTTTGTTCTCGATGCCTTGGTTCTTGTTAACGCTTCACCGTGATTGGACCACCCTACGTACAGTTTGCATGGGCCTCATTTCCTAGCCATTTGCTAGACTAGGTGCTACTACTGCTGTATCCGTAAGTTCGAACTAGTCCGCACGAACGGACAGCCCAAGATGGCAGACTGACAGGTGGTGAAACACACTCGCCTAGCCTAGAAATAGCGACTTGTATATACGCTGACGGAATCGCCGCCAATCGCATGCTGCGCCTCGTATGTTTAACGGATGTACAGACGCGGGTAAACCTTCTACTGCCAGAATGCGGAAGGAAACGACCGCGACAGACAGACATGGGAATATTTAGATTTTCGTCCCAAGCAATAATTGGAGGACGTCATGGGGGATTTGCGGAGGCGGCTGGCTGTCAGTAGAGTGAGATAGAGGCTTCAAGTTCATATCTCCGGTGTAGCTCGAGAGTGCTTCCGACTGACATAGCCGGTATGTCATCTCGGTCGAGGTCGGATAGTGCGTACCGTATCTGTTTGACGGAAGCTTAAGTCCCCACATGACCCCAATTTCCCATTATTTTGTTGCTCTGTGCATACGTCTTCATCGATGACCCCTTTCGGTTCCATGGCTACCCTCGAGCCCGCGGTGATTTAGCGTGGAATTTGACCGACACCTTTGGTGCCAACTTTTGCGTTCGTGGCAGTCTGAGACGCCGGTGTTGGTGCAAGGCATCCAACATACCACGCAATCTTCGCCGTTAGAGGAATAGCAACATATCACATAGTCGAGCCCCCACTTGGTGTCGGCATCAACACATCCCTCCAGTAGGGATGCGTTCACCAGGTTTCCCGAAGAGCACACCACATAAGATGGCTGACCTCAGGTACTCACAAAAACCTCGGTACCTAGCAGGTCCCGGTCCAATACAGCCGTTGCAGACTCAGAGGTCTGAGGATCACAGCTCTTGCTTTGAGGCAGTGTGTACTGTCTCACGTTGACCGAGAGAAGTGATCGCTCGCAAAGAAGAGACTATGAACAGGCCCAAGCGATCGCCCTGTGAGAGTGGGTGATAATCTCGAGAAGACGGCCATGAAACGAATCCAAGATGGGTGGATTGGTTCCATGTGCAAGTGTTCTGAAAGATCACGGGCTGAGTCATCCCGGAGAGCTGCCGAGTATGGTTCTCCTCAGGATGGTCCGCGCCAACTACGGCGAGCCGAAGTCTGCAATTTGCTAGCCAGACTTGAAACATGGCGAGATCTCGCAGTCGCCACTATATTACTACTTCACTGCGCAGCAGTCTGAAATACGACGAGCTGTATACCTCAAGTCAAAGGTATCAAGAACGCGGATGACTAAGACCATAAGTCTGTGAGCAGCAGAGTGATTGATATATTAGATGATGTAAGCGGAGTAGGCGGACAAGGTGTAGAGTAGCCCGCCCCTATTATCTTGGTCGGCCCCAGCTTGTGTCTGGTGTGAGGAAGCTGAAGCGTCCGAAAAGGCTCTCATGATACCGTGAACCCGGAGACAGAAGTAGAAGTGTATCTAAAATGGGCGATTTGGAAACGCTGGAGGAGAAAGGTTTGAAGGCCCCTAGGCAAAGGTGCCTGCCCAGCTTCGCCGAGGCTGTACCAAGCCGTCAATGGTGGAGGTGGCTGCTTGGTCGCGTGTTTACCGTTTCACAGAGGCGCCCGCCAAGTAGTCAGACTCAATTAGGATTCCAATGACATACAAAGAATTGAAGCAACAAAGCCAAGTTTAAAGACGTCTACTCGCAGCAACCGAAACGAACGCAGGACCCGAATGCGATGGCGACGATCTCGGTCGCGATTTGTGAAAGGAGGCAACCCAAGAATGAAGATGTGAGGGTATTTGGGATTTTTCGTATCCTGAGGGACCGGTGGTCGCATATATGAGCTTGTTCGGATGAACAGGGCAAAGTTGTCAGGCCCATGGTAGTCGTCCGCTCACACGTGCTCCAAATGGTCTGGACCGGCCACGCAACTGGTGTGTTTTCAAATTGGTTGCAGACAGTGCTAGCTGTGTTCCTTAGATCCCGCTAATCCTGGTTCCTCCAGTTATGAAGGTAGCATGCTTGGGTGGGTGGGTATTCAAGCAGGAGATGCTGGGCTCCTGAGAGTCCGGAGTGGGCAACTGCAAACCAAATCCAGAATATCATGCATGGCCGAGATGTTGCCAGAGACTTGGCTTGAAATAAGTGAATATGCTTGGCGACAGGCAACCTTGCGAGGCCTCACAAAGCAAAGCTCGAGGGTCCAGAAGTCTTGGGAAGGTGGCGAGGGTAGCGGTTCGGCTCACCGGATCAAGACGACTTGCTTGGTGGCCGCATCACCCCACGGGGAAATATCAGAAACAAGAGCTGAGCTAGATCGATGTCAGATCAAACATCAAATGAACCGTGATGAATAATAGAGGCCTGGGCTTGAGTAGACCACGAAGCTGGAAGGTGTGGCTGTGGTGCTATGACAAGCCCGTGGGAACGGCAGCAGACAACCGACGGAGCCTTGGCATCGCAACTACCACAAGTATCGTCAAGTCGCTCGAGAATGGCAACATGGGAATTGTCGTTTGCTGATGGCAAAGAGTGGTTTGCCACACATGGCAATTGATGGCAGTTGGGACGAGTCTTGGCGTCGGACGTCGCTAAAACGTCTTTGAAATCGTCAGCCAAGAAAATGGATAGCTCGTGCTCAGCGAACTCAGCGAGACCGACAGAGAGCCTTTTCTGCTGTCGGAACTTCCGAACCAGTCTAACCCCAACTTCCGCCATTGTTTAACCACCATGGGAATAAGGCAGGCGACTTGACAACGTTGGAGTCGTCAGAGTCAGGTAGCGAGCGGATGAGAGACACTAGGGAAGCCACAGGCCATCAGCCTTCACCCGAACAGGAGCAACCATGTCGCAAACTCAGTCTGGTCTGCTACGTTGGAAACCTGTATGAGTCTTCCTAACGTTCTGAACGGACTCGGTCACGATTGACTTTGGCGCTACCGATACTCTCAACGAATTGTTTGCTGAATTAGCAACGTATCAATCCTGGAACGTCTCGCCCTTCAGCCCCGTCTAATATTATAACGCATGATTTGGAAGCACCTGCATATTCGACGATGGATTCTGCTATGGCGGGGATTGCGCTGCTTTGCCATGCTTTGGTAACGTGCGATTAATCAGGAAGATGACATGATACCGAGATACACGACACCGAGACACACGACAATTTCGGCGGTGCCGTGACCATGTCCTCGCCCCTCAGCCGCTTGCGAGCTTGCCCGATTCCATCGGAGTTAAGCCCTGCCCGCATCCCAGCAGTTAGCAGCTTCACGTTTGGTGGGTGACCTTGAACTGGAATGGCGCTGCTTTGCTGACGGTCACTACAATCACGCAATGGCCAGGCGGTTTGTAGACCGTTTCATTGCGTCGCTCGGTTTCGTCCTCAGTCCTTTATGTCCAGGCTACTCTGCCATCAAACGTTACGTGTGGTGGCCGCACGCTTCTGCAGTGCATACAGAGACAAGACGAGACGTGCAGGTTGGAAGCCATGATTGCCAGTTCCCATCGACTGTGGAATATTCATGAGGTCAGGCTTTTGATTTTCTAGTATCCCACTGCGGAGAAGGTCGTTGGCGACTCGGCCAACCGAGCCGCAACGGCATAGTCGCGGATATATATCCATACCCAACAAGATGGCAGCAAGCTGCTGCGAGTCCGATCCCAAGCCCAAGTGCAGAACTACAAGGATGCCACATTCAATTCGCCCAATAACCACCAGACATGTTGCCTATCCACCATTCTTCTAGTCTGCAATCCCTATTATTCCCTATTCGCAGACGCCCGTGTATCGCTTCGCTTTATTAGGCAAGCCTTCTCAACGTGACCGTCCACCTCCTTGGGAGGGAGCAACTGCGGGCAGCCTGTCGAGGGTCTTCGATCCCGCCGGTCCACCTCAGACGCTATCACATACCGTACCCTGACGTGTCGTGGTACATCTGGAACAAATGATCCATATCACCGGTGGTGGTACCAATGGTGGGGTCAAAACTCAGCCCAGCCTGCTGGAAGTGCACCGTCGTCTCCTGCTCGCTCTTCAACTTGAGGTACTCGGCCTGAAGCTGCGTGTACGCCTGGCTCAAAACGTCGTTCTTCTGCTGTGCTTCGCTGAGCAGCATCTCGAGGTCCTTAATGCGTTGGTCCTTGCGCTCGCGATATGCTCGTTGCGAGGCGCGGTTCTGAGCTCGGCGACGCTGCGAAGTCGTGTTAGTGGAATGTTAACCCAAGAGCCTTCGGTTGCCCGTCGAGTTCAATGAGACGCAAATACTCACAGATAGGACTGATGGCGGCGCATTCTTATACCGGTTCTCGCGTTTTCGCTTCACGGCCGGCTTTGCTTGCCCTTGTTGCGAGGCAGCCTCTGCAGAGCCGTCTGTGTGCTCCGGGCTGGCGTATACGCCGTGCGAGTAGAGGTCGTACTGTTTGTCTTTGGTCAGACAGTGACCCCACATGCCGTGTGTTGACATGCATACCGGTGAATCCATTGGACTTGTAGATGCTGAAGTTGATGGAGACTCGAGATATGGTTCTGGGTCTTGGTACATGCATGAGTTGGAGTTGGAAGGAGAGGGCAGGTCAAGAAGGACGTTGAAATCCTCCATTGCAGCCTTGCGAGGTCGAACGCTTGGTTCAAGTATTGTTGCGCTTTCAGGACAAGCCCCCAACCAAGGGTTTGAGTGCTTATACCGTGACGGGGAGAGCCTTCAATGTGATTCAGGTAAATTTATTTTAGTTCAAGAAGATTAAGTGGCAAATACATATTTCGGAATCCGGGTTGTTTGCTCTCCCCTTCTTCCGCAGGGCAGAGAGGTGAAGAGAAGGACCAGCTTGAGATTATATCTATTCATATGCGCATGTTGGAGGACCCAATGGGAAACTAAGCTTTTCTGGTATGCTGCTCTCTCACAGTTGCATGGACGGGGACCCTTGCTTGGCAGTACCTAAATCTAGCAGGCAATGGGCATCCTTCTTAGTGCCGAGACGTCTGTTCGTCTTGCAGCGAAGTATCTGCAAGTACCTGTCCCAGCGCATAGACCCTTGCCCACCATCCTAAACAACCCCGTCGTGCTTTTACGGGGTGACTGACCACATGCAGAATCGTGGCTCAGGTTTCCAGCTGACAGGGATCGACTATTCGACATTTTGACATTGACTTTGGATCGGGAGGAGGCGGTAGGTATCCAGGAAGGGCCTCGCTCGCTCGCTTACCAGTACCCAGCATCCAGCCTCATCACCCACTACCCGCATTAGATGCTGAAGCACTGACTTACCAAATTAGCAAGGCCACTTTGTCCATTACGGCGTGTAGACTCCTCACTAGAATTAGAATACTTGGCGTGGCATTGTTCCCACAGCTGACAAGCCAGCGGCGGTCTATCGCGGGGTGGGCGCGGCATGGCGGGTGTGGTTTTTTTTTTTTTTTTGGCAGGGTCCTTGTCTCTCTGTAGGTTGGTGGTCGGCATAGGCATCGGAGTTTCCTACAAGGTAGCAACCAGATTTCTTATTTGCATCGACGGGGCCTCTTCGTAGGGTCCCGAGTGCGCCTCCGGTATCAAGGGAGTATTGGGTAGGCCAATGATCTATTCCCACAACATGATGACCGTCCTCTTCGATCGGTTTCTTCGTTCAACGTCATATTTCCGATTCTGGTCCGCTTTTCATCGCAGACCTCGGTATTTGAGAAGATAGAGATGCTGATGAGGCGACGCTATAATTCGGGATCCGGAATCCTTCACACCCGCCATCGCTTGGGCACGCCGAGTTGTCTACTCGGCGTCATGATACGTTTGAAAGCATCTGTACTGGCGTAGGTAAGCACGCAAGCCAATCTTGGGATGCGCCAAGATTTCAGGTTATGGAAGACGGTGTGGGTGTCAGACGAACGGTCCTGGAAGAATACCGGTCATGCTGGTTGGATCCCCACAAGCAAGAGAAGGATGGATCCGTTTTATTCAAAAGGAGAAAGTGTTCCTAAACAAATACTTCATGCATTATCGGGGATCCTGCGCTTGAGAGACGATGCATCGCGGTAACAGGTCCTCTTATCTCGGGGTAGTCTTACCCCGCGGACTTACAAACCATCTGGGGTTTGTTATTATGTATTGCACCAAGCATAACAGCAGGTCGGTCTAGCTGCACAGGATTATTTTCCTGTGGCAGCAACACCGAAAAATAAACTCAATATAAACCCCGTATGTGGCCTAGGAATCTAGCCACAAAGTGTGTGCAGCAGCCGTTGACCCGCGCACATGGCAAAGAGCCACTGCCAAGATCTTGCACGATCGCCGCCGGTTTTTGCAGCCCCCCATCCCTCCCCAAGATTGGAGGTTCTGGACACTTATTTGTATCGGCCGAAGCGTTTTGGGTGCACGAGAGCACATGCCAACGCCACTCGGCTGTAAACTCCGACGAGTCGTCGACGAGTCCTTCTCATTCGTAGTTTGAACCCTCGACGATGCAAGCTGCAGTTCGAAATCCCCAAGGACACTTTGAGTTGGACAACAAACGCCAGCCCGGGTTGGGTGAGTGGGTACTAGAGAGTCTCTACAGACATCACTTACTATGCTGTGTAAGTGCGCCGTAGAGATTGACCGGCGCCCAACTAGCTTCACGTAAGCAGCCACACCATTGAATTGGTGCCATGTCATGTTTTTGACTTTGCTTTTAGCCTCTAAAACTTCGATCGATAATCTTCCCGCCAAAGCAGCCCGGGTAAACCCAAGTTAACCTCACCGTCAACCTCGAAATAGACTCGGACATCCGCGAAGTCAAGCTTTTTCATCGGTTGACAGCTTCCTACGAGTAAAGTTGACAGGCAACTTAGACAAGACAGTCCGCCTCGTTCCGTTATTAGAACGTATTTTAGACTCGACGCAAGCACCAGAGTGTGGCTTGGGGTGGGGGGCAAGGGTGTGTGCCAGTGTCCCGGGTCTAACACCGCCGTCAACGGTTGGTCGGCCTCGGATCCGGCCTAATAATGGGTGGCTATAGGTGACCGGCGGCGGGAAGACTTTTATTGCATGAGAATCTCATAACCTTAAAAGTCGCATCCTCGACCTTGTCCATGACCGTGGCGTCGGTGCTGCCTCTCAGCTCGGTGGATACCTTCTATGCAGAGGTACGCAGAGTCGCATTGTTGAACAGCCTAGCCCCTTTCCAAACGGGAAACAAAAGAGTTTTGCTCGGAATACTAACCTTCCGTGTGCCTGTACCAGTTGCGTATCTCGCAGACAACGTCTCAAGGATTCGAAGCGTGTGGCGTGCCATCTACACGATATCAAAATAGTGACGAGAAACCGTAAAGGGAGTCCCCTCTAGACCGCGGCTCGCCCCGCTGTTTCCTAGGGTTGCGTAATTCAACCATTTGTTCGTACTTGGATGGCTGTGTCTGACGCATGACCAGTGTGTTTTCCATCGGTTGACCGCCACAACAAGACGTATGGCGCCATGTTGCTACGCAAACGTTGAATAGCCATGAGGCCCTGGTAGGGAGCTGGTGGGGGGCTCATTCGTTGGTCACAAACAGCAACGTACGCTGGGACTCGTGTTGCAGTCATAAACGTGCTGATAGCCAAGACCCTAATGAAGTAGGCGTAGTCATGAATCAGCATCGCGGCGTGGGATGATGGCCATGCGCTTCTAAATATATCAGCTCACCTATCCAGATCGAGACGGGATCTGATAAAGCTCGACGAGACTAGTTTGGGGGGCGTTTGGGGCCAAGAGATGGATAGAAGTTTTGACATCACATTACATCTTCGTCAGCAACCTATATGTGAAATATTGACCGCCGTTTGCCATTGATAGGTAATGCCCATGTGGCGATCGCGAAAACTTACTCGGCGAATCTAGTTACTGTTCTCTGGGTATACTCGCCAATGCACGAGCTCCAGCAGGTAATTCCAAATTAACGGTTGACCGAAATGAGGTATACGACGCATTGCGGCTGCAGGTAACGGGCCTAATCCGTCGTGGTGGTCGTTTTCGGAGATTGCATGGCTTGGATAGGAAGCCTCTTGGACTCTAGAAGGTGAAGTCAAGGGTCTGAAGCAATGCTCTAACGACTATCATCGCATGCAGGAACTAGATCTTGTACGAGACTGGACGACTATGCAATGGCTGTTTTCGATATCCGCAAGATATCAGCGTCTCTACCGATTTCATACTTTATAAGCCCGTGTATTATTCTGAAGTAAAAGTACGTTGGTGGTGATTGCCTGCCGAATCTCGTTCGATAATCGGAATTTATTACCGACATGTCGGAACAGCTTCCGTGCCGAGATTACATTCTCCTAGGCGCTCTACCACCATCAAAATATGCAGTGGTCCCCGTTAGTCGATAACGAAATAGCCCTTAGCCTTCTGTTTACACGACCTTGCCAAACCCGGTGCTCACCCGCTCTATACCAGGGCTGCGAGCGTGGGGACTCCCGGGGGGATACGGGGTAAAGAGCCTATAATTAGCTACCGGATGGGCCATCGGCGGCGTAAGTCCGGAGACCCTTCAGTTCTTCTTCTCCGCATGTCGCCAATTCCTGCCTTGTCATGACAGATACCTTACCTGAAAAGGCGCAGGCTTTGGTTATGCCGTAAACTGCGAGCTCAATCTCCTTGGTCTGGTGGCATCGGCTTGCAAAAGTACGATACGCCTCTCGTAAGGCTAAGGTTCCCCTATCCTACGACAGGTGGGGACGCTTGCAAATAGACCAGGCCCCAAGGCAGCCTTTGAGAAAGTTGAGGGAAACGGGTATGGTACCCCGAACATCTGCAAGGCAGTCGAAGGTGGAAGGTACTCTTGAGTAAGGGTGGTACTGAAGGAAATTCGGGAAATGTTCCGATAATGTGCCTTGAGAGGCTTATATAACGTGGTGGCCCGTCCACAACCATCACCAGGTTCACTAGCACGATCGCATGAACCTTTCTGTACGGCGAGATCGTATACTAGTCGTTAGGCAACGGTATAAATGACTTTTCTTTGGCTCTAAGGGTTTTATGCTCACGAGCTCGCGGCACTAAGTATACAAGCCACGTCCTTCTGCAGCGAGAACAGGATGTGGCCCCTGTACTCAAAGCCGCAAGCTATGTCTTTATGTGACTGCACGCGGTGCTTGTGCATCTGGAGGATGAAACCACGCCATTTCCTTCCATGTACCACAGAAAACCAAGATCAGAACACCCGAGGTACGATGCCATGCTAGGCGAGAGGTTCGAGGTTAGATCATTGATTTTGTCATATACCATTCCTGCAAACAACATATGCAGCCTGAGATACGGCGTGGTTACTCCAGATCCGCGCACGCATGAGACAAATCGGCGCTACAACCGAAGGGAGGGCCATATTTCAGCCTCATCCAGACAGCGAGGAGAGCGTGTGATAACCTCTCGAATTGGCAACAGATGACGAGACTTGCACCAAAACAGGGGTCCCTGCTCTCCGAGAATGCAACATTGCAAACTTCATCGGCTCAAGGGACGTTACCGCTGTTCGTGATCGTCGGATTGGCCTCAGAACACCCAGCATGGCCAGAAAGAGCGGGCTTGGCATGTCATAACCTTAAGTGCCCCGACGTCAACATGCACGTCGTTACAGCCACCAGTAAGGAGACGAATAGATAATAGGTGGCGGCGACCGATACCTCTTGAGGCTAGAAAACCGTGGTGATAAGAAACGAGGAACCCAGATGGTCAAGAGAAAAAACCCCGCTGACCTGGGCTTCGAGATCGTTGGGGGCCAACGGCTGCGGCATCTCACTCGTGCAGGATTCTAGGGCTGTCGACAGGGGTTGGTTCGCTTGTACTTTGGGGTCGTCATATCCAGCGGGCATCTTTCCACCCTTCCGCGCCGCACACTGGGCCCCGCCCCGACGACGGCAAACGGGTCGAGGTGGTACCTCGAGATACTGCTAGCGATAGCCACAGGCTTTCTCGCTTCAGGGCCCTAAACAATTGGCAATATCCATGTCTATCGGCACGCTAAATCCTTCGTTTAATTGGTTGGTTAGGGTTCCCATCGGTCCAGGTCTCTTGGGATGGCCGAAGCTACGTTTCATGAGTATTGTATGCAGACTAATGAGCCATCAGTAAATCGGCGGTGGGTTTTCGCCGCAGCGATAACTTATGCAAGCAGAGCTCGCCGCATCGGCCACGACAAGTCGCACACGGTAAATTGGCTTGCGTACGAAGGCGTATATCTTGCTCTTGTTACGGGAAGTGCACAGCCACTGGTCTTGGGTCTGTCAACTTGATATTGTGACGGTTCGGAAGAGCTGCAAGAGTGCAGACCCCGAATGGTTCGAACCTATCCAACTAGGCTAACAAGCTCAAGAGATGCAAAGCATCTAAGATCAAGCTACACTATCACATCTTCTATTAATGGCGAGCGATCAGGTCAGGCCGGCTTCTGAAGATGGTGTTAAGCATGTACGTGGACAGCACTGACCTCTATGCACCACCGGTGCGGGATGACGATGTGGCGGTTCTGGTGAAAGTAGAGGCAGATATCTCTCACTTTCCGAGAGTCAGTTCAAGCAGCGGAAGGAGCGCGATGGCGACGTGTACAACGAGGTGGAGGCCAAACTGGAGATAATCTCCAAGTGGCATTCAGGAAATTTATCCTGAATAAGACCAAACCATGACAGATTCACAGGGGTAGGTGGAACATTGGGCTCCTCATGTGGGAGATATCTGCTAACTCTCGTAGGCCAACGATACAACACTGTCAATGCTGATATGTGTGTGTGAGGAAGGAGTTTGAATCTTCGGAACCGAACTGTTGCATTGACCACCCAATGCACCAGAGCTTGATGATGGTTAACGGCAGGTCGGCCATGCTGGCGTACTAGGTCCATGCAGGCGAGCAGCCAATTGTCTGAAGTCAACGTCGAGTCCGTGGTGGGTCCAGTGTTTGTCGTTGCGGCCCCCGACTTGGCAACCGACAGTAGATCAACACCGCCGAAGTCATAGATCCACTATCCGGCATTTACGGCATTGAAGAGGTGACGTCGTTTTTAGGTTTCAAATGGGTATAACTACAAAATGACACAATGTTCTCCCGACGTTTATACTGAAACAAGTGCTGCAACGGCACTCGTCGGGTGAGCCAGCATGATGTCGATTGTTTGGAAGTGCAGATTCTATGGCGAACAGAGAGAAACTCTCTGGATGCTCCGAGGATTGTCTCCGCTGAATTCAACTGTCCGCATCCTATCCCTTGATCAGATGGCGGATGGCACCATAGCATCTTACAGCAGCGGTACGGCCTAGCAAGACCTACAAATACGTGGCTGCGACATTGGCACTCGATACTATACATGGAATGGTGGTTTACCAGTCCTGGTAGCCATATTACGTGCCGCCTAGTTGATAGGTTGGGAGGTTTCTGGAAATATTTCCTAAATGGGCTGCATCTGTCACTGTAATCTGAGCGTTGCCTTGCTGCTGAGCGTACCCTTCAGCGGTCGAAGATATACTCCGACCCGTGGATTCAATGGTAGATACACTTGATCCCTTGACGAAACACTGTAGCCGCCGGCAACTTCGAATAGGAAAATCAAAGAGCCAGTCCAGAAGGAGACACGCATCCCATCGTTCCCAGCTCTAATGTCGCTCCCGTCCATTGCCTGGGCAAGGCTGCGGCTCTATTCCTCGCGGATCGAGGCTGGGCATAGGGGAGACAATTGGATCTGCAGGAAGGTTACCCTTTAAGTATTTCACAAGACGTAGAACTGTGCAGATCCTGTTCCTCTGGCTCGATCGGAGCTTGCGGCTTGACCGGCTATCGAACCCTTGCTGATATCCCAGTTGCGGCAAGCCCATCCTGAGCTTGGTGTATTCCCGCCTTGAAGTTGATCTTTTTACTCAGTACGAGGCTGGCCTTGAACCTCTTCTTTGCTTCTTCCATGTCACCAGACATGGCTGCTATGTCACCCAGGTTGCAAAGCGCCACAGCACACGCTTCATCGCATTCCTCCGTTCTGTCTTCACCTTCAACCTTCAAGCTCGTGTGATATGCTTGAAGCGCCCATGACCGCGCGCTGGTAAGCAGTGTAGCCCTCGTGGGAGGGGCTGGGCTATGCAACCTGTCTGGTTCGGGCAGATTTCCGAAAGCTGGGGGCACAGAAATGGGCTGCTGAGCCAATGAAGTTGCCAAGTTGTTCACTGCACATAGGTTAGCTAGGGGCTAATTAAGTGGCCATTGGCATCTGGGAAATGCTACGGCTCAAGTGCACGCAAAGAGTCTCCACGAATAATTGCAGCCAATCAATCACTTACTCAAAACTGCGGCGTGGCAAGTCTTTGCCGGTGAGAGCGTCAGTGCTTGAAGGTACAGAGGTGCTGCTAGGTAGTGCTGCGACTTTGATTCGTAGTGATTGCCCAATGCTGCAAAGTTCATTAGTAAAAGGATCTAGAATAATGTGAAGCTGGCTGGTACTACCTTCTAGAGCGCCACCGATTTGCTCTGGAGACATCCATTCACCTTCGCCCTCCTTGACACCCTCCGTCTGACGCCTTTGCAATTCCTTCAGCACAGTCTCAACTGCCCAAATCAGGCGCTCTCCTGCTGTGTCTCCCTGGAGAACATGTTCATTGGCGTAGAGTTCGCCTAGTTTGACACTGATTCCTACGGTTTTCCCAAGGAGTCTCGTGCGTTTGGCCCATAAATTTTCAGGTGGTCCTTCGTCTTCGTCGGAAACGTCTCCTTGACTGCGAGAAACAGCTGCAGCTGCAGCCCCTATCAACATACCAGATTTGTCGACTTGCCCGGCTCGAACGCTCTGCTCCATCTTATCGATCCATCGCTTACAATTGAGGAGGATCGATTCCAGAACATCAATGGCATTCTGGTAATTGTCGATCTTTTCCAACCATGCCGCCATTTGTATCTTGACACCCAGAACCTCATCAGAGAAGGGGTCGATTCCATGTTGGTCGCATTGTTCCAGTGCTATTTTATAGTATTTCAGGGCCAGTTTGGGATCCGGCGCGTAGTTGCTGTAGTACAGGGCGCGGCGTAACGACTTTGCGACGTCGGGCGGAAATTTAGTAAATTGTTCGGCTTGGAAGTAGTTGAAATAAGTGTAGATCACATATAGGACGATGATAGATAAGCAGGACAAGCTTTACAGTACAAAGTTAGTGCTTGATCAAGAAGTTGTTCAGCAGCACTGGCATGTCTCTTACATGGCAACCGCGAGAACGAGTTCCTCAGGGCTCTGTCGATACAAATTCCGCAGGTTCTGACCACGGAATGCGCTCGTCAAAGCTCGAAAGTTGAAGTTTTGTCGAAGCGCCCGTAACAATAACCTCAGGGTAACCTTGGGTGGCGGCTCCTTGAATCCGCGGCCCTCGGATGCCTTGTGACGTTCCGAAGATTCATAGCGCTGTTGCTGGACACTGACGAAAACTATAGCTGCTCCATTGTGACTGCTCAGGCAGACTGGTCGAGGAGAAAGCAGCTGTAAGCGCGACCTTAGAAGAGGTGATCGTATGACGCCATTGAGAGGGCGTATGGCCGCGATATGTGTAGCAGGCATACTAATGAAAAGCCATCTGTGATTCGGCAACAGCCGGAAGAATAGGAACACGCCTAAATCAATTGGCAGGTATCCGTGGGATGAGGTCTGTTGACTCAATGAGAAAAAAGGACTGCGACTCGATGATGTCGCCGCCGAAGTTTTTCGTACGAGCTGAAGCTACTTTGATGATTACATACTGCTGCAGGAGCTCTCGCCGAATGTCCGAGCTTCCGTTACTTCCTCCGCTTTACTGCAGCGCCCTTGCACAAAAACGCCGCGGTTGACGTTCTAGGTTGGTGGGGCAAACTGGCACAGGAGTGACGACTGCCGACTTCATACCCGCATACGGACGTTCAAACCGCTCAACCTGCATCGTAATTTGAAACCAGCCAAGGCTTGCCGACTACTCCAATACAAGCCTACCAACTGTCACCAAGTCTCCCACCCAGACACATATCCCTCTTTCGACTTCAACGCCGGAACTGAAATCCTGAGAGGCCCGTAGACGAAATACCCCGCCGGTCAAAGCTTTCTGTATAGTCTTCTGGAACTTAATAGGCATCATAACTATGTCTGGAAAATTCGAGCCCAAGGTTCCTGTGAATCTGAACCCTCCAAAGGACGATCCCATCTCCGTCGATGAGCTGTCCAAAGCCGATGGTAAGACCCGTGTCACTCGTAGCAGCTCAGCTTTCATTCCCTTTCACATGCATCGTCTTGCCATACCAGCTATCCCGGGAGAGACACTGGGATATATTGATGATGTTTGTGCTAACCATTTTCTGCAGGGTCCGACGGACAAAAGTGTTACGTTGCCATCAAGGTACTAGTTGTTCCTCCCTCAACATGCACAGAGCCGTAGTAGCCAGGCTCGACCACATGCTGTTCTCATGTGCCTATATCATAATTTTCTGGGAGATCGTCTGCTGATCACGTGGTTGCAGGGCAAAGTCTATGACGTGAGTGGTAACAAGTCATACCAGCCAGGAGGGTCCTATCATGGTGAGTATTTTTGCCCTTTTAGATTGTCGTGATCAGTCGAAGCACTCGACCCAAATGCGTTCTCGTTGAGAATCATATTCATCCACTGCGCTTATAAATCTGCCGATCACCACAAAAGCTCAAGACCCGGTGATCAACAGTCCAGTGACTGATTGAGTGGGTTTCGTCATATCTATTGCTCCGCTCCACCTGTCGTCCCACGTGTATCGTCAACACAAAAATGTTGTTTGCTTGCTTGCTGACGAGCTGCAGTTTTTGCGGGGAAGGATGCTTCTCGTGCGCTGGCCAAGTCGTCGGTCAAGGCAGAGGATGTGACCATGGAATGGAAAGACCTGGATGACAAGGAGCAGACGACACTTGAAAACTGGATCACGTATTTCTCCAAGAGATACAACATCGTCGGAGTCGTCGAAGGTGCTACCAACATGGAATAAATCGGAACGGTCTTCGGCAGGCTCAGAGGGGCGAAGATGGATGGTTGTGTTCGGAGGGAAGTTGTTGGTTGGTGTCCTGACACGGCATTTGTGAAAATTTTAGAAACATGCAGCTCTCCCTCAGAATGGATATTCTCGTCTTTTTATGCAAGTTGTGATGCGGCGTCGTTTCATTCAAGTTGGGTGTTCAAGTTACTCAACCTGTCAAGAGCGGACTCTAAACTTCAAGGCCTCCTCGCACTTGGGGGCTAGACCCTCCATAGAGAGGATTACAAGGTGCATCATTGCATTTCGGAAGATTGGCTAAGATGGCTAACCGGATGTATATTTGTATCGTACTGCATGTAGGCAATGCAACTTTTCACACGCGGATATTTAGTCCTTACAAACGAAATTGGCCTTATGCAGTATAGTAGAGCTTAGCCACCGCGGCCAGACTTTCTGCTGTGGTCGATGACGTCCCTAATATTGTCCTCCGATTCCCCCCCGCCTTCATGCTGTGTTTGACGTGCATATTATTAAGTGGCACATCTGACTGGCTTCCCAACTTGACAGGCACGAATCATACGTATATGCGTTTAAGAGTCGAAGTAAATGTGTGGGGGAAGAAGACTCAGCATCATGCTGTGGGCGATGACCATAGTGTGGATATGGCGCACACATCGGGGTTTCTCCCACGATGTTCATACCAGGCCGTGTTCCGTTGCCGGCCGTCAGGGGGGAGATGCAGTGCATTCGGCATGGAGATTGCGAATCAGATCTCAGCGGTACCGCGATGCCCAGGCCACCGTGTAACAGGCCGTTGCAGGAACAGACACGTCGATGAACACCAGCGAAGGGTTTCCGCTTGGAAAATACACGTGGCAAGAAGTATGTATAGATTTTCCTGCAACAGACCTGGTCTGGCTCTTTTGGTAACCCCCACACCCCCCCCCCCCCTCTCAAAAAAAAGAAGAAGAAGAAAAAGAAAAAGAAAAAAAGAAAAAAAAAGGGAAAAAAGTGCATCGTAAGTTTCTTGTAGACGTACGACAGATTAACGCTGTCCATATACGCCATTACATATATTTTGTGGCAGATATGACACTCGCATTGTGGGGGAATGAAAGACCGGCAGTGCGTCGTGGGATGTATGGTTGCTGGACCATGCTTGGTTGTGTTTGTTTCAAGCGATGATGCGATTGGCATCCCAGGAGCATATAGACGTGCAAATTTAGTGAAACTAAAGCAATCAAATAGGAGTATTTACAGGCTGTCATTAGATAGACTCTTTACATTTACATATGCGCGGTCCTATAAGCTCTGTTCACCTCAAACCCCTTTTCTCGTGTAACTTCATCCTCACCATCGAAAACGACCAACACAAAACCCCGGCGTTGGCTTGATGAAGCACGTAAATCCGATAGCCTAATTCTCACGTGCCGCTCGCGTCTTTAGATGCTTTCTCCACATAATCAGTGGTCGCATATGCTTCGCCAGTCGATGCAGCTTTCATGCGGATCCTAAGCGTTGTGGAACTGCTCGGCCGCGTGACAAACCCTCGTCCCCTGACCCATTCGAAACATCAATTAAAACTACCGACTTGTGTATGGTCCTGGCAGTTCGCTCGCCCTGAAAGTGCCGCTGTCAGTCAACGGCGATGTCGGATCCGCTGCTGGTTGTGATATTGCGGGGGCTGGAAGTAATAACCCTGTGCCGTGCAGTCGTCGCATAGCTGAAAGTCCTGCTTCCAGGACTTTCGGAGGACCTTGACGCCGAGGCATTGGTGGTTGGGGTCGTTGCGTGCGAAATGGCAATACGACTTGAGTTTGACAACCGAGTGGTTGCACTCGAATCTGAATTCTTCCCAGTCGCACATAGTGAGTTGACAAGAGTCAGAGGTCACGATGGTCTGATGTGACGGCTTGGATGTTTGTGGATTGATAAGCCTGATGGTATCTGTGAACAGGTGATCAGATAAGACTTGTTTGCCACAACTGCAAGAGTTAGATACTTCAGGTCTGGTAAAGGGGCAAGATAGGCTCACATGGAACTATGTGGTAGATACCGGTGACTAAGTCCGTTTAGATGTTGACGAGAAGGCATCTTGCAACTCATGGATGCTCCTCTCCCCTTTATATCATGCCTTCCACGCGGATGAGCCTCTACGCATTTTGATTTGGAACTTTGACATGCAAGTATTTCCATTTTCGAACCCATCTCCTCAAGGATACTGCAGGAATTCCATGCAGGACATAGCTCAAGTTCCTTCGGCAACCATGAGCTGAAGGGCATCGGAACAGTACATGACTCTTTGCATCCATGCAAGAACAGCCATCCTTCCAGATCGTTCTATCATCTGTAAACACCCCGTGTGTGTTGACTTGTCATATTTCTTAGCTTGTCCCCACGCAAGAGCAACCGAGTGGCGTGACGTCGTTGCAGCCGGAATCGGGCCAAAATCGCTGCTAACTAGGGACTGAAGCCGCATGGTTTCAAGGACGGAATCATACTAGAAGTGGCCTTTCAAGCAAGTGTGAAGCTTTGTGAGAGTTACAAGCTCGCCGGCAGTATTCTAGTAGTTCTGGATGCCAAATAATAATCTGTCGAGCATACTCACGAGGAACAGCGCAGACAGCCTAGATTTTCATTTAGAAGTTGTTATTCTCTCGAGGGTGCGAAGGATCACATCACAAATGACGACTCAAATACATTCATCATGATCAGTCGTTTGCCTGTAAGATGACACGCCTTGGAAGTAGAGCCACCGCGGATGCGATCCGGACTACCAGTAACCAGGTTCGTTCACAATGGGGAGGGGGCTCGCTTTCCAGCATCATAAGATTATGGCCAATGATATGTGCTTATAGCAGAGAGGTCCATATGCGGCGCGGCCCGACTCATCAAAGCAAACATTTTCAGTGTTCAGCACCAGGCAAAGGCGGCCTAGACGATTCAAAAGAATAAGTTTCAACAGAGGAACTATACAGAGACTAAACAGATGTAAGCAGTAAGACTAGCCGCCGCCCTGGGAGAACTGAGATGACTTGTGTACTCGATGATGGATGATGCATGCTACAGTAACAGTGGGGGGGTTATATCCACAACCCATTCTGGATTGTCCGTATATATCTCAACCGAAAAAATGCATTCTCATGCAGTGTCCCGCCTTCAGCGTTCGTGGCGTTATGGGATGAGCTCAACGGTGTCAATGTGGCAACCCGCAGTGCTTCGTACGGTAGATATTTCCGCGTTCAGCCAATGCGCATCTCACTGATGCGAGAATCTTCACCTAGGATCTCCGAGACGAATGAACGCTCTCCGACGACGAAAGTTTCATCGCCACATTCTCTGGGCTGCACAAGATGGGATCCAGACCAACTAGCCCCGAGCAGTCCCACTTCGCCCCTGCTACCAGACCTCGGTGAGTCAGAGCGCCCTTGAGATATCGGTAATGGATTTGCAAAGCTGTGCAATGTTAAATCGGGCCTCTTCTTGGGACGAGAGTGGGCGCCCACGTCGCACGGTAAGATGCTCCAGATGATGGTTGCAATAGTCCATCAATCTGCGACGTAATCAGTAGATACCAAGTCCGTCGGCGAGAGGCGATGGGTGACAAGGCCATCCAGCACCTTCGCTGTGGATGGAACCGGTCTGAAATTGGATCTTCACCGGCAGGCTTAGAACGTCGGATTCCCACATTGCATTGGCTGTGCGGCTCGGGGAAGTATATCCATGCCACAGTATCAAACTGCTCCGTGTGACTTTTGGCCCCTAGGCAATGTTCGCAACGAGTAGCGAAAATGACCACACTGACCCTCCGTGTAAAGCCCATATTCCTGAACGAAAAGTTGCAACACCGAAGGGAAGGGACGTTTCTTGGCCACTAGCAAACCAGCACCACTGGAGTGCTCGACCATGGGGACGCCGTCGGTTCCATGTTACGTGAGCCGCCCAGAGTTGGGTCGGGGGGGGGGGAAGGCGCGTTCACACGTGGGTGCTCGACTGAGATCTTCCATGAGGCCACGAAGTGTTCGGGTACCAGTTGGATTGACCTGATCGTATGGCAACTGATTCGGCAGTCCAGAAAGTTCGAGTGCACCATGGTCCAACATTGGCTTTGCTAGCGGCAGATACTGTCTTGCGACGCACCTTGCACGATCATCACTAGATGTCCTTCTGTAGCTGTGGTCATATGAGATGGCATCTGACTGCTTCTTGATGCTAACCATAGAAGAGGAAGTCCAAATGCGAATGGTACCTAAGCTTCATCAGCGGTTGAACAGAAATGGACGCCCAGGTGAGACGGGACTCGCCAATTGCAAAAGAATTTGGGCACTATTCAAGTAGAGACTTGGTCCCTAATACTGAACGAGAATTCGTTCAGCAAAAGAAGGGGAGAGACTATCGAGATCATATGAACTACTACCATTCGTAAGGGCACAAATGTGAAGCTTTTGCAAATGGGGCCTCAGCTCTTACTTAATGACTGCAATTGCTTGCTCACCACTCCAAGCAGGTTGGGATATGGTTGCCTCTTTGCCTGTGAAGCATCGGCATCATCTGAGACGTCCGATTGGCTGGGTCAGCTCACTGTCCCCACTTGAGCCCCTCTGCACACCGAAAAAAAGCCCAACACAAGAAGTGTCTCGGATTGGGTGTGCAAATGTGTAGATCTTGCTGTCCGCCTCGTTTTCTGGGCATGGATGATGGTTGCCTCAATTATTCCTTGGCTCACGGCGCATTTCCCTCTACACCATCGCTGATGCGTCGTTTATTCGTCGTCACTTGACTCTCATTCAATGCTATTTTATCATTTGGCCTCCATCTGCCGGACTTGTGCGCTGCTTAGTGTATGTTTTACCTGATTATCGCACGACTGCTGCCATCCACTGCCATCCATTTGTCCGCACCCAGATCTCTCGATCCCGTGCCATTTTATGAGCGCTAGGTTCCCGACGCCTACGGCGTTCAGGTAGGCATCGCACCCGGATGCTGCCTGTCGCATCAAAGTAGCAGGGCGAACTCGCTTTTGCAGATCCAGATAGCTCGACTACTCATCACTCAAGCAAGCGCCCAAGCAAGGAACCAAGCAAGGAAACAAGCAAGCAGCAATTTTCCTGCCTGTCGTCGCTTGATGCCCTTTGACTGCTAGTTAGTCTCTCAATGCCATCTGCTTTCACCATCATCAATCATTTTGTATCATACTCCCAATCCCAGCTGCTCAGTGGTCCGAGGCGATGCGATGCGACGCAACGTGCGCGCAATCGGGCCTGAAGCCGCAATATAACCACAGACTCTGTTTTCGCCGATCAGGAACAGCACTGACTAACTCGGCAAGCAGCTGTCGAAGTTCAGCCCTCATTGTACACGCTGCTCCCGGCGACCGATGAACCTCTATCCCACCATTCGGTCATCCGGTTGAGTAGGAGTGCCTTTGGCTCTGTGTTAAGACGGAGTCCATGGGACGTTGGAATATCTGAGCAATCATCGTTTTATCTTGGGCCGTTGTTTTCTTCTAACTGGTTTGCACGCGTGCTGAGTGTACAAAGTTAACATGACTGGCCACTTGATACAAACAACTCCTGGGTCAGCCGATGGAGGCAGCATGAGAAGCCCACCGAAACCCATCCCCACTGATATGGCCATGATGTCCCGGACTAATGAGTTGGCCGGAATGGAGCTGTTTGCGGCTTCGACCTCGTCGAATCGAGGACCGCTCGATTCTTATGGACGGCAACCTCGAACCCTGCCTTCAAACCCAGTAGAAACATGGTACGAAAGCAATGATGGCCCGTGGATCCCCAAGGGTTTGGCCCCTGCGGAGATCGATGAGCAGAGCACTTCGAGACTGCATGGCGCAAGTGTGCCGGGCTATTCATGCACGTTCGCAACTCAATACCCAAATGACTTCCTACCCTCAGAATGCAGTACTGGGCCACCCGGTCATGCTATACCGCCCTCGGACTCGGGATATGGAAGCTATGTAGCCAAGCGAAGTATCACAAGTGGTTCTCTTTTTGACGAATCTCTGGATCGGACCGGAGAAACCCAGAGCATTGTGGGAAATCCTTTGGAATTCCACAACTCTGCATCAAGTCCAGATATGCTGCAGAAGCATGGGGTTGTTAGATCTTGGGGCCAACCACAAGGGCAAACATTTCCAGAACGACGGAAGGAGCTGATCTGTGAAACATGCAAGAAGGTGCTGAAGACGAATTCGGAGCTCAAGTAAGTCGACTGGAGCTTAATCCTCCAGCTTTATCGTTGAGCACGCAGCTGAGACTGAGTGCTTCCAGGAAACACAGGCAGAGGCACACGAAACCATATACTTGTGACGTGCCCGGCTGCACACGAATAGAAGGTTTCAGCACGACGAACGACCTTTACCGACACAAGAGAAGCGTGCATAAGGATGAAGCTGCTCAGGGTAACTGGTATCGATGCTTGCTGGATAATTGCGGCAGTAAGGCAAAGATCTGGCCGAGAGCAGACAATTTCAGAGCACATCTTAAGCGATGTCATAGTCAGAATATCAAATCTGAGGACGAAGGCCTAGAAAGATATGCCTACCGGTCAGCAGTTGAGCAGCGTTCCATCATTGACTCTAGATAGCTGATCGTGGCTAATAATTTGGTTCAGACCATCGCCACCGGCCCCTCAAGAGCTTCTGCACGACCTGGCTGGATTCCGACCACCTGTAGATTACAATCTGCTTCAGTTTGGTCAAGACATGGGAAATCCTTTCCAACAGAGCTGTTGGTCCGAAGCCGAACATATCCCGGCGACTGAGCTGCCACGAGAAGCAGGCGTTGATTCACATGCCTTCACCAGAAATTCGCAGTCGCCACTGACGTTGAATCCTGATTCACCAGAGCCTCAACCCCCTACGACGCCTAGCAATACCACGCTTGATATCATGGATCGAATGGAAACGTGTACACAGTTTGCAGCACAGACGTCCCATCAAATCGAGAACTCGTCCGAGTCGGTGTCGAACGATAAAGACGAAAATACCGGGCCCGCTCAGTTTGTTAGTCCTAGGGAATTGACTCAAAGTAAAAAGGGAACTCAGTTGTCAATACAGTCCGAGCAGAGTCCCGTTCTTTCAGCCGGTGATGCAAGCCCATTGCAGAGAACGAGCCAACCGGAGACTCATTTAAATGAACCTCAAGCCGATGACGATAGACCACTGATGTCAAGGTTGGGAAAACAGGGCCACTATCCTAGCCGCAAAACCCATGCTCCAGGGGTCCAGAGTGCAACATCTACGACTGGAGACACTTCATCTATGGGATCAAACTTGGATGGCCTCGACCCCGCGGCGTTGAAAAAGATCATTGAAAGTCTCCATGCGAGTGGTGCTCTGGAGGAGCATGGCTACAGAAAGGAGAATTCGTCAGCTGTTAGAGACCAAGCCTCAGAGACTGCTGGTTTTACACACCATGAACAGCACGCCTGTGCAAAGTGTAACAAGAATTTTGCACGTCCTTGTGAGCTGAGGTAGGTGACCTCCCGACCCAACATCTGAATTCCACTAACGAGCAATAGGAAACACCTGAAGCGCCATGAGAAACCGTACGGCTGTACATTTCATGGTTGTAGCAAGAAGTTCGGCAGCAAGAATGACTGGAAACGCCACGAGAGCAGCCAGCATTTCCTCATTGAAGCCTGGAAATGCAACGAAGTGAGCAGTAGCAAGCTCTCGGAGCCATGCGGCAAAGTAAATCACCGGCGTGAATCGTTTAGACAACACTTGCAAATACACCACAAACTCCAGGGCGACATCGTGGATGCCAAAATAGAATCATGCCACGTGGGAAGAAATTGCGATGCTAGATTCTGGTGTGGCTTTTGCCAGGAGATCGTTGAGATAACACAGAAAGGCCTCGATGCCTGGGCTGAACGATTCAACCACATCGACGATCATTTTTTTGGTCGAAATAAGCTGTCTAAGAAGCAGATTGATGACTGGGAGAGTCTTGATCCCGATGCCCCACTAGCTCGAGATGGATCTACGTACGAATCAGATGACGATGTTCCTGAGCAAACGACTTCACGAAACAAGTCTACGTCAATACGAAACATCATGGATCAGGGGTCGGACAACCATCGCTCTGTGGTAAAACGCAAGATGGATGATGAAGATGATGGTCGCCATGTCAAAAAGACAAAGAAGGGAGCTCGAAACATGGGGCATGTCACACAATGTGTAAGAGCCAACCACCCCAGAGAAAGTTTGACATTGATCTAATACAGTACAGTGCGAATGCGGTGAAGGAAATACGCGGGGTGCGAGCCCACGGTGTGTAAACACCCAGTGCCAGCATGAGCTTTGCAATTACTGTATATGAGGACAATTCTTTGGATAGTAATGAATGTTACGATTTACGCACTGCTGCTACGGTTTGGTGGATTCCTGGTTTTTTTGTTGGAGCACCAGATATCATAGATATATACCATTACCAAAATTCGTAGCTATTTCCTTGGCGAGGTTCATATCATTCGATGTTTCGAGAGGTATAAGCACGTTGAACGCTCATGGCACCTTCCTGGGGATGTGGAAAGGCGGCATTGTAGTGAGGCAAAATAGGCGCGAATTGCCCTCGTATAACACCCCTGACAAAACAATGTACCAGGACGCAACTGAGAATTTCCCAGGGTCGTAAGTATTTTTACTACGCAGATGTAATAATCCAAAACTACCATATGCTCAAATAATTAGGAGCTGGCACGCGTACCCAACTCAACGGCTTGCTTGCCTGAGTAAGCTTCAGATATTCCAATTCGAACATCTTTGATGTAAAGATCGACGGCCGAGTCTCATGAACAAGCAGCAGCAGGGCCATTTGACGTAGCGGTCAACATGATATCTATCTTCAGACAGCTAGCCCAGTGACTTCGAAGGACGTCGTCCACGGCTATGAGTAGCTAACGCAGCGCTGACAGAAAAGAAAACAAGTCACCCCAGTGGCCGAAAATGTAAGGCGACACCTACGCAGTTCTGCTAGCCCGCGGGTCACTCTGGATCCGGGCAATCTAGTTTCGGATCAGTTATATGGGGCTTTTCACGACGTTTGGGATCTTGAGTTCTTGAGCACAGCCGCAATCCTTCTAGCGAAAAGGCAGCAAATGGGGCAGGAAACAAGTCTTGCAGAGAAACACCTAGAAAATAGGCGGCTAAAAAAGCCTATCGGTAACAAAAATAATGGAAGAGGTATAGCATCCTTATACGGTTGATCCTGCGTAATGGATTACAGGTAGGGATTTAAGTCCATGAACCCCATCCACTTTCCCCGTTCGGTAAATGGCCATAATGAACACGTCTTATACCAGATTTACCTCCATTTACTTGGGTTTGCGGTGAGCATTTTCAAACATGGTGTTGAGTTATAATTACTTGACTTTGGCCTTCTTTCGAAGTATTACGACTTGCTCAGGTTCACATCTTGAAGAGGTAGAGCCGCTCGCCGATATTGTCATCTTGAACCTCAGCATTCAGGGAACATATATCGATCGCAGAGGACAGAATTCTCTCGTTTGAGCTTTGATTTTAGGACGCGCGGGCAGAGTTCTGTGGCGAGCTTCAAGTAACATTGAGTACTATCATCGGATGCATGTTCTTGTTGCAAGCTGTCAAACCACTGAGTACTCTCTAAAATGTCGTGGAAACCCGCCGCTTGTCGCTCTCATCATGAAGGCAATGTCCTCATTGAAAGAAATCCGATTCTGCTATCGAATCTTGCTGATCTACGAACGGAGATAAATAGAGGTGAAACAAGGAGACAAGCTTTCACCTGTGATATATACATAACTGTTTTGCGGCTGATACTAACGAATATGTCTCATAACCTATGCCGGATGAACAGCTTAGGTCAAGTGATGTGAAAGAACGCTACAGCCAATCAATCTTACAGGAACTGCTCCGGAGGAGCTTCGAGGCTGACGAGGCTCATTTCCGTCACTCATAAGAGTGTACTTGGTAAGCTGTAGTGCCGTGTCCCTCCCAGCCCATGATTCCATCGACCCAGCTCTACCCCTATTAATGCTCCGCAATAATCCTAACATCTTCACATGTGGAAAACCTCTGCCAGGCAATTAAACGCGCGGGTGTTACTGATACGCGCCCGGCAATAGCGAAGCTAAAGGTGGGTGCTCCAGAAGAATGCAAGGCTGTCATCGCGTTTAAAGTATTGCAGGGGAAGGATATTGCAGAGGTACTCGTGGACTAAACGAGATATCGCACTCTACGATATCAAATGAGGCCAGCATATTTCCGAGCTCAGGTTAATTAATGATGTTGAACTTGCATAACGTCATATCATCTGCTCTTCTGGCAAGGGATAATTACAAATTGTGGATTATCTCTCGACAAAACCAGCACTACTGCAGGTTTATATGATGCAACCCTGCAGCTCAGTCAGGCGCAGGTTGGTAGGTCGGCGTCTTGCCCAGGCCGTTGGCTTGGTCAGATTTCAGGGTTATGGCATAGATAAATGCTCTGCACTAGGCGACGGGAACTTGCTCGCTGAAAATACCGGGTTCGCGGAATTCATGACAGAAAGTCTTTTGTTTGAAGGACCTGGCAGAAATGCGGCCTGTCAGCGGAGCCGCGCGTACCTGGGCATTCAATGTAACTCGCCAGTGGTCAAGAACTTATACACGTGAACGGAAGGAAGGAATGTCGAGAGCAAGGCGATCACCAAGACCAATTCTAGCGTTTGCTCCGACAGAATCACGGTTGGATCATTCCTTGGGCAGTATTGGGATTCTGACACTAAAGTTTGAGCGAGTGAAGCACTCCCAAACGTCGCCTTTGGCGTAAGTGACGGGTGTGTGCTGATCAGCGGGCTCATCGATTGGATCCTACTGATACGGTGATGATGCCGGTGCGTATGCTCTTGCCATTAATGAAGGAAGACAAACGGACGGTCCTGGGCAGCATTATTTTGACGTTGCGTTCCGATGTGCCGAAGCCACATAAGCTTAACAAACGTGAGCGCAGGTGACAAACCAAGCCAAACTTCTAAACCGAATTTCGAACGAAGGAATGAAGACCTTGGCGTTAGAAGCTTAAAATTTCCTCGCGTTTTTCGCATGGTTTCCCTATCTGTATGCGCATTCGACCGCCCCGTACATCCAAGTCCCCTCCACGTTACTAAGAGTTACGGCGGCGCCAGGTATTGAGATTCGAAGCCCAGTATGCTTCACGCAAATTCTAGCTTGGAGGTGCTGCAGAGATTTCGAGCAACAGTCATCCTACTGTCATAGGCTGATCCCTGGCGCCACTGTCACGTTTATTATCCTTGGTGGTTGTAGATGTTCGAGAATAACAATAGAGGCGATTGGGGGCTTGATCGTCCTCCCGATTGACACTGATGTGGGAACGTACACAAGTATGTAATGAAATACATTCCGTGCCGCACCACTTCGTCCGCAATAGAATGAGTGACCAATTTACTTCGTACCTGACTGGAGTGTTGCTTCAATGGAAAAGAAATGAACAACACCATCGACATCAATAGCTTTCCTCTCTTGGCACGTGATACCTGTCACGAGGTCCCTGGGCACGTAGTTTGGCAACTGACTACTGCCTGCCTCTCGTGTAGCAATTGCCGGAGCGCAGCACTTCGAATACAGCAGGTTTCTCCATTCCAGGAATAGCCCAGGATACAACAATGCCATGTGTGCACAAGTGATAAGACCGTCTGTAAAAAGTGGAGAACCAAGGCGAGGAAGAAGCCCAGAAGGGCTGAAGATTGTTTCACTGGGGCTCAGCTTCTGCAGAACCTGCCGGCAGCCCATGGTGTTCTGAAAAGCTTCGTTTCGAATGCACCCAGCCCCTTCGACGTTGGAGTTTGGCGGCGATGTACGTGTTTACGGCAGTGCCAGCCCAATTGATCCACTGGGCTGGGATGGAGTGCCCAATTCGGTCCCTCGATCTGTCCATGTCATTGAACAAACAACTGCAGCCATCGCAGAACAGCTCAAAGAGGACATGGTGTCGCTGTGATATGCAAGTGTTGATGGGAGCCCCCAAAAAGCGCAGGCAGATAAGCCGCCTTGCTCGGCTACCACTCTCGACCGGAGAGGTGTCGAGCCAACAGAAGGCAACCAGCTCGAGGGTCCCTTGGGCTGAGCCTCGGTATAAGTTTTAGTTATCGTCGTTTTCAATACGACCATTGATCGAGCTGCATGACGGGTAAAGAAAGCATGGCACCCGTAACTTGGGTCGGCATTTGCATGTTCCAACGAGCTGGGCCTTCCTCTGGTGTCAAGACGTGGCTGCCTCAAGTGGAGCCGGAAAATCGTTCGGTGAGAGGCAAATATCGTTTTCGCGCCGTCACATATCACATTCGCCCAACAATAGCCCCACTCGGTCCCCGCAAACCGACGTTTCTCGGTCACGGCTCCAAATTCCAAATCTGCGATTCCATCTAGTGGCATGATAACGGCATCCCGGGCAATCCCGTTCTGGCCCCCAACTTAGAACCCAGAGCAAGACTTTGCGAATAGCTCACCAGCTGTGCCACCAGGCTTGGGTCACGGTCGCCCGCTAGGAGGTAGCGATCGACGCATTCTGCTTCAAGCGAGACAATCTTAGCCGCCCGAAGCATTCAGCTGGAAATCCTGCCAACTTACCACGTTATCAATGGTCGAATGAAAAGCCCACTGTCCTCCACAGGCTGCTGGGTATGGGGTGCCGGGTGTGTGGAGGTCTCTGGGATCTTTACTATGCACGAAGAAGGACCACGCATTCCAGACGACTCCGGACAACCAATTTTTGAAAGCAGAAAAGCTTGTAGGCGTCGGACCATCTTCCATCTTTCGACCTGGACCCGGTCACCCAGAAGGATGAGGCCCAAGATGTCGCGTTCGGTTCGAAGACGCCCATTGCTCGAACTTTGAGTGGCCCAAAGCCGAGGGCCTATGATAATCTGCGCCAGCGAAATTGCTCTCAGTAGCTGGGCGACAGTGGCAGCAAGGATATCGCTCAGGTCCCAGGGGCTTAACCTAAGATGGACATACAAAGTTGCCAAGAGCCACGAACCTGGTGACCGAAGCCTGCGGGTATTGGACACCGGGTTTAAAGGAGTACAGAAACCGTCGTGCAGCATAGCACCGATTGCCAATGGTGGTGGACGACCGGGGAAGTCTGCCTAGGCGGGGGAAACACTGCCACGACTGCCCATTGTCCGCCCAGCCGAAAATACCGTGGGAACCACCCTTCACTGCAATTCGTCGACGTTGGAGAGCCTCCGTGAAACGTTGTACACATGCTCCTAGTTCAAGTGGAAAATCCAGGAGTCATGCTCGAGTCCCTACCTGTCATTGAACTGTTCCCAATAGCGCGATCTTCTACTGGCGTTTTGCCTAATCGCTAGCTTTGTCCACGAACCAAAGAAGCTGGAGTCTTCTGAGTAAATCGCAGCACGTTTATGTCGATGGTTCGCGAACCACTGCACCATGATCCAAATACCTAGTATCTCACAACAAACTTGCAGTGCTGACCAAATCCCAAGTCGGCTAGCAATGGTACTTTCGTGCATAAAGGCAGACCAATACTCGGCGTAGCCAACAGTCAGGGGTTGCAAATGCACCGTTTGAAGAATTATTGCGGCATGCGCCAAGATTAAAAGCAGTAAGACCTGCTAATGATCGTCAGCCACCACCGGCCATTCAAGAGTACCACCCCTGGCCTGCTTCGGGGGTCCTCTTAGGGTGAGGAACAAGTGAGGCTCTGCGTGGGTCCTTCGGTACAGGAGGGAGGATATTGAGTGCGCCTGTAGTGTGTGACTCAAGACCCCCGGCTCTCGATTTAGTAGTTAAGTCGACTTTCCTCGAATGCAGCTTGCGTCGTCCCGAAAAGAGACGCTTCACTTGCATTACTTCGCCCCATTGATGCCTATTGCAGCTCACAGAATCGCGAATCGTTCGTGATCCAGGCTTATACACCACTTCACAGCCTACTTAGCTACACCAAGTCCCCGTTGCGACATGCAAAATTTGGCAACACGTCAAACCTGAATATCGTCCACTCGCGTGTGGACTTTTTGACGACACCGTCCACTAAAGGCTGAACACATCCAGCTTGTACTGCGTCTTTTCCACATAAAAGCTCTTTGCAAGTCCGACCCGCCAGCCCCTGTGTCTCCGGAGGGCCTTAAATCTGTCATCCCGGCCACTGTTTCGAAGGTCATACATCGCCGAACATCAAATTCCATACGGAAAGCGGTGATAATGGATTACCAACACCTGGCATATCCGGACTTGCGGCCATCCCAATACTACTTGGCCGATCCCAGGCTGAATCCTACCGTGGGCGAAATGATCGATCCCAATCTGGAGGACTCAAACACTCCGCCTCAAGGCATGATCCCATGGAATACTCAGGTATCGCGCTTCACATCAAACCACAACGAGACAGCTTACTTCGGTCATACTTACCTTGATTCAAATTTTGTTCATGACGGCATCCGTCAAGGCGACGCCATTCTTCCATTTCCGTCGGCTCTTCTTCACAGACAGGAGTCGCCGTCAGATCATTCATCCTCCATCTGCAGCAACGCACATAGCCCACCTGGCGAAAGCGAGTATGGCTTGGATCATTTGCCCTGCACCCCACCCGACGTCATGTCCGTGTTGAACCATTCTGAGGCTTGGGGTTCCCAGTCGCAAGTTTATCTGACTGGTCTGACCCATGCTTGCGTCAAGCTGGATGATGTGAACCCCTTTCAAGACTCATTTCCAGGTTACGGCGAGGATCGAAGCCCGCAACTTCTTCCTCGTGGCTTCAGCATGTCTAGTAATGGGAGCAGTTATGGCGTGGATCAAAGCCAGCCAGAGCAGTTTCATCCGCCCAGACAAACGAGCCCAATAGAGCTTCGTGAGGAAATCAAAGATGAGATATGCATTCCTGATAACACCAAAGCAGAATATTACCTTTCACTGGCGTCAGATGATGAGCAATCCCCGTCAGAAGATGGCTTTGAGCTGTCTCAACCGACTTTCAAGGAGGAAGAGGACGAGGATTACACTCCCCAGAAGTCTTACAAGCGGACCAGCTCGAACGCGAATCACAACGTCAAAACCCGCAAGCGATCCAGCAGTTCACCAGGACTGCCGGCCAAAAAGATCAAGTCTCAGTCGGGTTCGTATCTCAGCAACCACAGGCCGCCAACAAAGTCCGTACTTCACGGGCCCAAGGGTGGCTTCCCCTGCAGCGAATGCCGCGACGTCTCTTTCAGGGATGAAGGCGGCCTGCAGAAACACATCAAGCAGCAACACACTCGACCCTTCATCTGCATCTTCCACTGGGCGGGCTGCGAATCGACCTTTGCAAGCAAGAATGAATGGAAGAGACACGTCTCTTCTCAGCACCTGCTCCTGAACTACTGGCTTTGCCAGCAGCATCCCTGCACCAATCTCCCCAATGTCGCCGCCAGCCCAGAGGCTACCTCCAGACCTCGTGGGCGCCCATCATCATCGGTCGACGGTCATGACCATAACGGAACAGCGCTGCCCAACGGAGCCATCTTCAACCGCAAAGATCTGTACACCCAACATCTCCGACGGATGCACATCCCCCCGCATATCAGGAAACAAGTCAAGCAAAAGAAGACGGTGTCCGAGTGGGAGGAGCGCATCCGAGTGCACCAGGACGAAGCACGCAGGCTACGTTGCGAACTTCCAGACCACATGACATGCCCGGCCCACGGATGCAACACGCAATTTGATGGGAAAGCAGCCTGGGATGACCGCATGGAACATGTCGCAAAGCATCTGGAGAAGGCCGCTACCGGGAGCGAGAGTCCCGTCAGCTTCGGCGGAGATCATGATTCAACTTTGACAGACTGGGCGGCCCGTCCCGAGGTTGCGATCGTGAAGAGAGACGATCGTGGCAGGTGGAGGCTGAACAACCCCTTGAAGCCAGAGAAGAATGTCAGGTCTTCCACCGTTTTGAGTGAAGACGAGGATGCGGAAGGGGAAGACGTCGATGACTAGACATGTACAGCGCCTTTGCACCCTTCATGATTCCAGTTAGTCCTCGAAGCTGTCACTTGTCCATAGGATTACTACAAGGTTACAGGGCCGGATTTTCTTTACGATGCACACACACGACGCCGTAAGGGTCGGGACATTCTAATTACGTACGTATGGATTTGGATCTCCATGGTATATACCCTCGCCAGCGACAGGCGAAAACATAAGGGGATGGTTAGGCATATAATCAAGTGCATTTACGGTTACGACTTGATGAAGGATTCCATACAAGTGATCATTTGATTTTGCAATTTTCATCACGAAAGTCGAGGTTCAGTTCTTGTCCTGCCGTCGTCGCAAGCTGTAAACTCGGCTGGCGTCCCATGCAATGTCCAAAAATTGGCAGTTTTAATCTCATTATAAGATGTCGACTTCAATGACAACCCATCAGAATTGAACAAGTCAGGCCCAGGAAGTATCAGAGGCGATTTGACGGTCCCACCAAAACCTGTCTGTAGTTCCTCGACTACCGGGGCTGGGCCAGCGCGGACTGCAAGTTTCCCACGGTGGTAAAAGTTCTAGACAAAGCAGTTCGAATCATTGAATACGGTACAATTCTCGGGGGTTGGCACTGCAGGCGAATACTGCTACGCTGCCGACACTGCCAAACAGAGGCATTGCGGAGACGTGGGACAACAGCTCCTATTCTTGTCCGCGCCACTCTATCATTGTTGAATTGTATCCTCTGGCTCCGCCTCCTCCCGAGAAACTAATGACGAGAAAACTGGCTGTGCATTACTGATGGTGGTGGTGCGATAATTGGACTCGCAGGGGGGCTTAGAGGAAGTTGATGATTCTGCCAATCATGACGACTGCACGAGTTGTCCAATCATCATAATGCCACCCCGCGTGGCTGGTACTGAGATAAGAGAGCAAGCCGGTTGACCATATGGTGGAGGAGAAAAGCACACAATGATGGCTCGACTTATTCAGCCCATGAAAACACAGCCCAAACCCGGAATCCAGAACCCAGACACCACCACCCCAGAAGTTGCTTCGCCTGGCGGTTGAGCCTCTCCGCGCTCTTCGTTTTACCATCTATCATCGTCTGATGTAACCCAGCGATCGACTTTTATTTGCTTTTGGTGGCCCGAAGAATCGGAAAGCCAATTTACTTCCCGGCACCATCCGGTCAAAGTACGCCTACCTTTGCCCCGGACACTTGAACCCTTGTTGATCGGGGGGCGGATGTCGCATATGACATGGCTGATCCCGGCCGCCCGTTCTCAGACGAAGGAGGCTTGGAACCTTGGGCGCTTAGTGCCACTGGCGATCATGAGAAAGCCGTCCCTGGCGCGATGCCGATGCCAATAACAAGTCTAGAGGATGAAAACGATGAACTACTGCGCACTAAGAGCACTAAATCGACCTCATATAGTAGCGAGCCCAGAAGTATGGAACCAGGACCACAAAACCAGAATGCTGGGCCTTCTCGGGAATTCGACAATCTCCACATTTACTCATCGGTTGACCGGGTCGATGAAGCGGGAGCAGCAGACCAGAACTCACCATCTGGAACTACCTATGGATCCTCGGCGATCGTACCGAAACTCGCGGCTCAGGTGGAAGACGCTCCTGACTCGGCCAAAAACAATAATCTCGGCCTTCGGCATGCTGAACCCCAGACTTGGAATGCTTGTTCGCCCTCTTCAGTCCCTGAACATGCCACCGGATCATGTTCCTCCAAGGGAAAACAGAAGGAGAAAGAGAAGGAAGTTCACTTCTCGACTCCCCCGGGTCATAGTAATCGCGATGCGTCTCATTCTGAGTGGAACGCATCTCCGGACAGGCCCCCGGCCAAGTTGCCCATTAGCTTCAAGGATTGTGTGGGCCGATACTTTGTGTTCCCTTGGGAGAAGGTGAAGACTTGGGAGGTAATTACATCTCAGCTTGTCTTGGTCTATCTGGCATTTTGTTTTGGGATTCGGACTTGGATTCTGGAGCAAGTGCTCAGTTGCGCCACAATGGCAAGTTCACTACCATACTGTGATCTATCTGGAGAGAATGCGAAGCGTTATAGATTTAACGGCTCAAAAACAGCTTGCCGAGTCTTTTAAAAGTATAACATAGAATCGGGCCTCAACTAATCAGGTTCGCACAGGGCATGGAACGCCTGATCCTCGCTGCATTCCTTCACGTCGATATCCTGGGTTCACACGTGTTTCAGGGCCATTATGACCTCTGGACGTACGACATCTCGCCAGAGAGCGCGGCCTCTAACACATCTACTGATATTACGCAGATCGAGACGGGCATGTCTAAGGAGCTTCTCGCCGCGTTTCGGCCGTCTTCCGGCAAAGTAGGTACGAGCGGCGCTAGCACCGCAACAACACCACCACCAATCCCGTCAATTTCTGCGCCGCTGCCTCCATCTGTTCCCACGCCAGACCAAGGTCAAGTCCCTATGTCCTCTTCATCATCAGCATCATCTTCGTCATCTTTCTCAACTTCATCTCCCCACACCAATACACCCCCATCTCAACCAGGCCCAGCAGCCCCCAAGACGAGCCACCAGCAGTACTTTACACCGGCCTCCGCAACGCGCCAAAAATACATCATCCTCCCCGCCATCTGGGAAGAGACCATCATCCCCGGAATCCTCATCTGCATGGACCTGTGGCCTATGGCCCCGCAACACTCTTCCTCATCTTCTGGTGTTTTTGGTGCTGCTGGAGCTTATTCAGCTGCTACACACGGACATGGACGAGGTGGCGGAGGAGGAATGCCCGGAGGTCCACCACCCGCTACTAATGCGCACGTCGTGACCGGGACACCCGGGCCACCGCGTACGGTTTGGTACTTTCCACGACCGCTGAAGAGGAGGGGGAAGACGAGGAAGAAGCCTGAGGCGTAGCTTGGGATTGGAGGTAAAGGTTCGGAGAGAAGTGGGGAATAGGGGTACAAGCTACGGTTTTTGTGTGTGGCTGGACTTGGGTTGGTTTTGCATGTGGGCAGGGGGAGCAAGCAAGCGAGGTTCATGGAAGAATGCGTGTTATGGCGTCTATTTCTTGTTTCTTTAACTTTATCTATTTGATTAGGGCGGCATTTAGGTACATCAAGATGTAGGCTGTTTAAATAGACACCAACGAATTTATGAAGATATGCATGTATATGTGCTTTGAGTTAGTGGTTGGTTGGACATTCATGAAAAGCGATTTCTCCTGACATTTGCTGAGATTCCGTATCCTAAGGTTGCTATGAGAGGAGCCTCTCTTACATCTGAGATTCAGCTTCAACAGCATTGCCGTAAGTTGTTCAAGTACTTACACGTCATATGGACGACGTATATAATTACATATATCTCTGTACCTCATGCACTTCATTCCGTTTCTTCTACCCAAACGTTATACACGACACAACTTACCATTCTGCGTAGGCAGCCCCTCCAGCTGTCCCGTAACATACCAATCCTCACTCCCAACCCCCTCATGAGCGTAGAATAAGCCCGTCGGGTCAACACTCCGCTTGAAAGCATACAACCGCTCGTACGGCGTGCCCCAGAAGCTCTGCTGGAAATCAGGCTCCATAATGTCCCCCTCGTTGGCATAGGCGCCCACCCCTGGCGACGCATCGCGTAGGGGCTGCAGCCACGAGTTGGTGAAGTTCATGCTGAATGCGGCGACCTCCTCGCGCGACAGGTCGGCGCCCCACGATACGGCGGGGATGACGAACAGGGCCGTGTCGCGCCAGGCTGGGTTCACGGCGTTATCGGGAATAGAGACGTTCGCCGGCCCGCCGGTGATGCCGTACCCGACCAGGACGCCACCGAGGTCGATTATGGACTTCAGCGCGGTGAAGGTCTGGTTGAATTTCGTGGCATCTTCTATGTACTCCCGGGGGAAGAGGCGAGACGTACTTCGCCTTGTGATGCTGCTGACGGCTTCGGCGTCGGTCGAGGCATGCCAGGCGGGTAAGTAGCTAGTGAATTCTTGGTAGGTCGGGGTCACGTCGACGCCATAGCTGGCGAAGGTGGCGAATAGGGGGGCGGTGTAGTTTTTGAGCTGCTCCGTCGTGGTGTTGGGTGCGAACCAGGGGTATATGCCGAAGCTGATGGTGCCATTGCCTAGGGGAATGACATTCCAGTACATGTAGTGGCCGTCATCAATGAAGGATGGGACGGCTTGCCAGTAGGCTTTGATAGCCTCCCAGGCGGCGGCGCTGGAGGCGGTGAAGCTAAACTTCATGATGGCTACTGCGGGGAGTTTGGGGTAGACCTTGAGGGTAGCTGAGGTGACGATGCCGTATGAACCTTGGTTATGTTAATTGAATCCCATCATGCCAATAGTCGTGTTATTGTAATGGAGGTTGTTGACCTACTAGGACCACCACCCCTCAACGCCCAGAAGAGATCCTGGTTCTGCGTCGCATCGGCCGTAACAAACCGGCCATCTGCGGTGACTACACCAAGACTCAACACCTGATCAGCTCCCATGCCGTAGTGAGGTGACATGGGTGAGTGGCCACCACCGGCGATATAACCACCAGCAACGCCAACCGTCGTGCACAACCCTCCAACAGCCGTAACGCCGAATTTCTCAGCCGCTTCATAAAGCTCCTTGTTCTCAACCCCGGCGCCGATCTTGATGGCCGGGCCGGAGTAGTCAGTAGCAGTGTAACTCTCCTCAAAGACAATGCTCTTAAAGTGGTTGGTCCAGACAGACAGGGCACCAGCACCGGAAGAACGGCCTAAGAAATCGTGGCCCGTGTTCTTGATGACGAGACGCAGGTTCTGGTTTCGGGCAAAATTGACTGCGAGTTGCATCTGGGCTACTTTGGTCACGTTGACGATGTATGAGGGGTAGCCGCCTAGTGTGCAGCTTTCCGTCATGTCGGCGGTGGGCATACAGGTTGTGCCCTCCCATAAGGGGAACATGACGGAGGAAGGATCGGCCAAGCTGTCTTGTGTTAGCTACCTTTCTGGGTCTTTTTGTTTTCTTTGGAGTGGGGTATAAGCTTTACTTACTGAAGGCTGACGTTAGAGAACTTATCCGTTACATATTTACACCTTGCTGCATCGTAGTTACCCCAATTATTATAACAGGGCGACGCAATAGGGACCGTCTTGATCAGGGCGCCTCCCGTGAGGAGGTCCAGCATGCCCCAGGTCATATTATTGGGCCATGAGGCATCGCCGGGGTACGTTTTGCAACTTTCCGAGGGAGCCCGCCTGTCCTTTTTACTCGTAATGCTGTCTGCAAATGCGAACAGCGAGATGTTGGTCAGAGACAGGTCCGTGAGGTTTGCCAGGACGGCATCTGTCAGCTGCGAGGTTTCCTCGTCCAAGAGTCCCGAATTGCCCGAGATTACCTCAGCGGCGGGGGCGACGGTGGACAGGTTAGCCGCTGTTGGGCTTCATTAGTCCTATTTTGCTCTGATACGACTTGAGCAACTGAGGAGGACAAGCTACGTACCAATCTTGGTGTCATTCACGACGATCGTCTGGGCCGATGCCCAGAATCCTACGGGAATGCAGCTGGCCAGGAGGAAGGCCTGGTAAGAAAAAAACATCGTGCTGTCCTCAGGGTTGAAGTCACAAGAGGAAAGAAAGAAACCCGACTGGAGCTGCAGAAACCTGGACTTGGGGCATGCGAGTCAGTAATAGCAATACTGACTGAGAACTAGCCGGGTTTATAAGCTCCCCGCCCACAAGGGCATGTTACACTGCACTGTTCTCAATTAAAACATGCAGAAATTTAAATCATTAGGACGGTTCGAGTCGAATGTCCATAGTATCCCAGTCTAGTCGAATATAGTCCACAGTAGTACCGCGGGCGGGGATAGTGGCGAGTTGTAAGTTCATAGGAGTACTGTAGTAAGTGATATCTTACCAACTCACGACAAACAACAAGCGACGCTCCTTGAACAACGATCAATCATCAGGTTCTTAAGTTTCAATTGCCGGCGGAGTGTGAATAAACCGACGTTCGGTTTATTGGTACGGACATTGTTTCTGTGTTTGACAGGACTCGAACCAAAACCAACTTGAAAACTGAGTGGAGGATATGGCCTATCGGCCGGCAGACATGGGGAAGATAGCAAGCAAAAAGATCCAATTGATGACCAGTAGCAATCAAATAGTCATGATCCATTGGCAAATGAGTATCGATACCGTTCGCGAATGTCCCCGAAACTAACTACATTGTCATCTCTCTCGAAGGACCTGCCTCGGCCGAGCCCACAAAGATAGCGCAGGTAGACTGCCCCATGTATGGCACCCGTTTCCAAAAATCTAGAACGATTTCGTCCCTGGTGTCTGTGTAAGCGTGTAATAAGGCATGTAGTGTAGACGACGTAGGCAAGTGGGTTTGATGTGATTTTCCTCGGCACGGAATACCACTCTGTTCTCGAGCCGGACTATTCCAGACAAGCCGGATACTTGGCTTTCCGTCTTCAAATGCGGAAAGTGCCTTAGCTTGCGCCTCCCTTGACTTTGTCCTGACATATAATCCCCGCCGCCTGATAGCCCTAGGGCTCCTCCTCACCTTCGGAAGGGTAAGTTGCATGCGTTTCTGACTTGATTACCTTTCCAGGACAACTCAAGTTAGTGCAACTCGTCGAATTGAAATAGACAAGGCCAGCTTGCCGACTTATGAGCATTGCTCTGCTCATCCAACTTCAAACACGGCCTTTTGAA